GTTCAGAAGATTAGGAAAATCTGCAACTGTTTGGCATCGATTGGGCACCTGGTGTCTAGAGAAGATCACCTGATTTATTTCTTCAATGGTCTTGACCAAGAGTATAACCCATTTGTTGAGTCGGTGAGTAATCGCTCAGATTCACCACCTGTTGAGCAGATTCACAGCCTATTCTTCAATTTTGAGGCTCGACTTGCTCGACAACACGCCACTACTCAGCTTAGCTCCCTTCAAGCCAATGTTGCTACCACTTTTCCCATACCCACTTCAAAGACTTCTCAGCCCCGTCCTTACCAATATTCTAATAGAGCTCCTCACAAGCCGTTCTACAATGTTTCACCTCAAGTTGGTTTACTCGGCAAACCACCAAGTTCCCCATTGACTGGTCGTTCTAAACAAATACCAGGAGTACCTTTTAGGTCATCTCCTTGCCAGATATGTGGCAAAGATAATCACACTGCGTATACTTGTTATCAGCGGACTAATGTGAGCTATAAACTACCAGCTATGAAGGCCTTCAATGTCACTGCATCCTCAGAAACAGAGCTTGGTTCTGCGAATCCATTCCTTGATCCAGCCACTACAAGCACTGTTCAGGACCAATCTTGGTATCTAGACTCTGGGGCTACACACCACTTCACTCCAGATGCTTCTTGTCAACCTTGGTATTCTCCACCAACTCTCTTGTCCAGCTACACCAGAACAAAATGGGAGGGTCGAACGAAAACATCGTCATGTTGTCGAGACTGGTTTGACCCTTATGGCTCATTCTAGCATGCCTTTAGCATATTGGCCTTATGCATTTCAAACGGCTGTCTATCTAATTAATCGAATGCCTACCTTGGTTCTACATCATAAGTCCCCTTATGAACTCTTACATAATAAAATGCCACTCTACGATTCCTTACGTGTATTTGGTTGCTCTTGTTTTGCATTTATCCGCCCTTTCAATGCTCACAAATTACAATACCGATCTGTGGAGTGTGTGTTTCTAGGATATAGCTCACAACATAGGGGTTATGTGTGTCTTGATTACAATTCCAGTAAAATATATGTCTCTCGCCATGTGGTGTTTAATGAGTCATATTTTCCTTTCAAATCCTTTTCCTCTCAGACTAGCCCCGCTATGCCGACTGAGTCTTTTACTTCCTTTGCTTCCTTTTTACCTTTTTTCCCTACTTCTACTCCTACATCTTCTCCCTGTCCTATCCCCGCCAGTCCTCCACTCCCTACTCCTTTCTCCGTGTCCTCGTCTCCCACCTCGATCGTCTCTACTCAGTTTCTTTCCTCCCCTTCCCATTCTTCTACTCATTCTTCCTTTCCCCATGGTCCTTCTCCTCCTTCTCCTCCTTCTCCTACTTTATCTATTAGTTCTCAACATGCTCCACCACCTTCATTTGCTTCAGATATGTTTACTGCATTGCCTGATATTCAATTGCATAAGCCCACATCCCCTTCTAATGTGCATCCCATGACTACAAGAGCGAAAAAAGGCGTGTTTCAACCAAAAGCCTTCCAAGTAGGCCTCAGTGTGCCTACCGGTTATAAGCAAGCCTCTCACCATCCGGAATGGATTGGTGCTATGAATGCTGAGTACAATGCACTAGTTCAGAATAACACATGGTCTCTTGTGCCCCTCCCACCGAGTCACACCATCATTGGTTGTAAATGGGTATATAAAATCAAGTTAAAACCCGATGGTACTGTGGATCGTTACAAGGCACGCTTGGTTGCGAAAGGCTTCAATCAGACTGAAGGTCTTGACTATTTTGAGACTTTTCGTCCAGTTGTTAAGCCCACCACCATCCGCGTCGTTCTCACCATTGCCTTATCTAGAGGTTGGTCCATTCGCCAGTTAGATGTGCAAAACGCTTTCCTTCATGGTGATCTCATTGAAGAGGTTTATATGCAGCAACCGCCCGGTTTCGTTGATTCCTCTAATCCTACCGCTGTGTGCCGTCTCCATAAATCTCTTTATGGGCTTAAACAGTCTCCTCGCGCCTGGTATACCAAGCTTAGCTCTGCTTTACTTCAATGGGGGTTCACTGCTTCGCTTGCTGATACATCCATGTTCTATTTTCATGGTCCTAAGGGCACCCTGATTGTGCTAGTTTATGTGGATGACATTCTTCTTACTGGCAGTGCTGACTCCCTCATTCATGCTTTGATTTTATATTTACAATCGCAGTTTGCCATCAAAGATCTCGGGCCCTTACATTATTTCTTGGGCATTGAAGTTACTTGTCATGCTGATACAATTCATTTATGCCAAGAAAAATATATTCAAGATCTCTTATCCAAGGCTGCCCTGCTTGATGCTAAACCTATGACAACACCTATGGCTTCTGGCCCGGTTCTTTCATCTCAAGATGGTTTGCCTTTGGCTGAGTCTACCGGCTACCGTAGCATTGTTGGAGCCTTACAATATTGTACCATTACTCGCCCGGATATTAGCTTTGCTGTTAATAAAGCTTGTCAGTTTCTCCATCGTCCCACCGACTGCCATTGGCAAGCTGTGAAACGGATCCTTCGTTACCTCAAAGCCACTCCATCCCATGGTTTGTTACTACATCGGTCCCCTGAGCTCTCTCTTCAATGTTTCACGGATGCCGATTGGGCTTCTTGTCCTGATGATCGTAAGAGTACTGGTGGTTACTTTGTTTACCTTGGTCACTGCCTTGTTTCTTGGTCCTCCTCTAAACAAAAGGTGGTCTCTCGCTCCAGTACTGAGTCTGAATATCGGGCTCTTGCCAATGCTGCTGCTGAAATCAGTTGGCTTGAGTCTCTTCTCCATGAGCTGCACATCATTCAAGCTTCTGTTCCCACTATTTTTTGTGATAATCTTAGCACAACATATCTTGCAGCTAATCCCATTATGCATGCACGGACTAAACATGTTGAAGTTGGCCATCACTTTGTTCGTGATCGTGTGGTCAAGGGTTCCTTATTGGTGCAGCACGTTCCCTCTCCTGACTATATTGCTGATGTGTTTACTAAGCCTCTTCCTCACAAAGAGTTCCTAGCTTTTCGTTCCAAGCTCACTGTCCTCGTTCGGCCTGTGCACTTGCGGCGGATGATAAGATGGGTTACTAGGCCTTGTTAGATTTGTTTTTTGGGCTTTATTTTATGGGCTTAGTAATCAATTTATTTACCCTAATATCAGTCCTGCAGCCTTAATATAAAAGGCACCTTTTGCATTTCTGAGGAGTTAAGACAATACATTTTAATATATAGCAACTTCTTGTTTTCTGTCTTCTTCGCATTCTTTCTTCTTCCTTCTTCCAGAAACTCGTTCATGAGAAAACTCCATGAAGAAACATTTAGGAAAAACAGAAAAAAAAAAAGAGGAAAGGCAGCCATATTATGGGCCATACATACGTCGAATTTTGATCAGTTGAAGACGAATTTCATTCCAGTTCATTTTCCTCTTGATTAGTTGAAGACGAATTTCATTTTCCTCTTGATTAGTTGAACACGAATTTCATTCCACTGCTTCTGTGTTTTTTCGTATTGAGTTTTGATTTTTGATTTCGGAATTCCGCTTTTCGTTCGTAATTGTCCTACGTTTGAAACTTGATTTGAGGTTTGAGGTTTTGAGAATCATTGAGGTTTTCACTTTCGTAACTGATCTTCGTTTTAATCTCAGATTTACATATGAGTTTGTGGTATGAGTCTGTGACTGTAATCTGAGAATAATTTGTTTTGGATTTGTCTATGTTTGTGTTTGAAATTTGGTAAATATTTTAGTAATTAGAAAATTGAATACGATAAATATTGCATATACAGATATTGTAGTAGTTATAAAATACTGTATTTATTAATAAATATTTTAATAATTTTAATTTTAAATATAGTAAATATTGTATTTATTAGTAAATATTTTATGCTTCGTTTATTTCACTGATTCGAGTTTTCAATTTTAGGTTTTTATAGTAAAAAGTTCTCATAAAATGTCACATCTCAGCTCGAATTGAATACTCGAATCCGCGAAGTAAACGAGGCCTTAATAGTTACAAGTTTTTATCTGATAAATATTGTAATACGTTTAAACACTCTAGTAATTACACTTTTGAATATGATAAATACTGTATTTACATGTAAATATGTTAGTAGTTATAATTTGGAATATGTTATATTTATTGATAAATATAGTATTTATTAGTAAATACAGTATTAAACTGTCGCCATAATCGGTGGTCAAATTTTCAAATAAATATGATATTTACTCATAAATAAAGTATTTACTGGTAAATACGATATTTACTAATAAATACAGTGTTAAACGGTCGTCAGAATCGGTGCCCAAATTTTCAAATAAATATGATATTTATTGGTAAATACAACGTTAAATGGTTGCAAAAGTCAGTGACCGAATTTTTGAGTAAATATAATATTTACTAGTAAATACGACATTTATTAATAAATACGATATTTACCTGTAAATACAGCTTTAAACGGTCGCCGGAGTCACCGGTCGACTTTTCAGGTAACTATAGCATTTACTAATAAATACAATATTAAATGATAAATACGGTGTTTACTAGTAAATACAGTATTAAACAGTTGTCAAAAAAATAGTTATTGAAGAACGATCACAGATTGTCGAAAAATAGTCTTCGATCGCTGGAGACAGTTATAATGGACTTGACTATAATCTACCTATTTTAAAAAATATGCTATAATTTACTATTTTTTATAAAAAAAAATGTTTAGGGAGAAGGATTGAGATGGAAAAAGAAGTTTAAGAGTAATTTTAAATTTTTAATAATGTTTAAAACTTAAAATATCAAATTATGTTATAATTTAATATTTTTAATAAATATGTTATAATTTACTAATCCCTTTACCAATGTTATTTCCCACCTTCTCCCAAAAAACAATAACTCTAAACAAGTTCAACTGTACCAACAACCACCCATTGGGTTGAAAGAGAACAAAAGATGTGTATTAAAATAAAATTGATCGTCTTTTTGGATGGTAAACAAAACAACCATCCCCAACCAATAATTACATTTATCTGGCCAACTAGTAAAATCCTCAACTATTTATGACCTCTCGTATTCAATAACCAAAACCGTTGCCTGCAAAATCCTCTTCATCACTACTAAAGGGCTCCATCAATTCACTATCATCTCCATCATCATCGCCCTCTGTCAAAATGTCCAGTATTCCACCTCCACCATCAAAATCCATCTCATCCATGATAAAATCCCCGTCATCATCATCGTCATCAAGATCGGTTATACTGTCATCATCGTCATCATTACTCATATCATCAGCATCACTATCACCATCCACATCAAGACCCGGACCAAGTATAGGGTCAATGTCATCATCATCATCGTCATCGTCGTCGTCATCCTCACTTTCGGCATCATCTGGATCAGAGTCATCATCGGTTGGCCTTCGGCGACCGATCTCATTGACCCTAGCAGAAGCATACATCTCTTCTTGGTCATCCATTGTTATCAGCCCAACAAAGGAATCAGTAGGCTCCGTTGTAAAGTCAAGGACACAACGATCAACGGGGATTGTGGCAATGTCAGAGTAGTTAACTGCATCCACTGTTCGGAAAGCAGAAAAGAGGGGATGTTTCATCCGGCGGGTGTGAAATGCTGACATCACATCCTCATGATTTCTCCTAAGAATTGCATAGATTACATCACCGCGTGCGTTAAAAGTTATTGTTGTCTGGTCTAGTGAAGGCACACTTCGAAGGAGTCTATACTTCCGGAGATCCCAAACCTCAGAATTTATAATGACCTGTCAAAAATGTAGTTATTAGTAAAAGGTCCAAGAGGAAAACTTGTACAAGAGTGCAAGACTATATAATATCAAGGAGATTTAAGACAAGTAAAATAGAAATGGTCAGCCACCTAAAAAACAATGAAATAATCATGATGTCAGACTTTTTCAGGTCTATAATCGTCCTTCTATGCTTTGGGCTATGCAAAGAGGAGTAATTTTTTTACATCACTTTAAATGCACTCTAGGAATAGAAATTGAAGTATTGAACAGGTAATCAGCAGTCAACAAAATCATTCACTTATAAATTAAGTGGCAGCGCATTAAGCAATTTCACACCTCATTTCCAGCAGGATGGAAGCCACCGCCACCATAATCCGTAAACTGATCAAAGCGATGAACAGGATCAGGCTCCCGTCTGTCCCATAAGACCCCATTCCACAACACCATTGTATCTGAAGGATTAAAGTGTACGAGGGAATAAGAATTCCCTCGGCCTGTTGAGATGGCAGATGTATCTGACAGTTTCGACACCAATTGGCAACTCTGAATATCATAAAGGAGAATTTCTCGTCGCTCTGTAGATAGGGCTGCAAAAACATCACCAGAGTTGCTAAACCTTGCAGCCTTGCACCCTTCAAATGGATGCATGGGCCCACCTGAGATGGCAGATGCATCCCACAACCTCACATCCTGGGAGCTTGAAGAAAGTAGCAGCTGGGTCTCACTAGATTGATAGGACTGCACAATTGTTACAGGAGACTGATGGCCCGTGCAACTCTCCAATATGCTGTTATTAAATGAATCAAAAATTTTGATGTCTCCAGAGTGGCTTCCTACTGCAATATGAGAGGAGTCGCTGAGAAAAGTAATGCATGTTAAAGGAGCGCCAGAATCATCCCGACAAGGTCGCCATGGCCGGAATCTGCTGTATACAAGCTGACGATCTCTGCGATTACAATGGACCCCACCGTAACTACTTTTGAACTCGCGCGTACCAAGCCGGGCTGTTACATTTACTGGGGCTTCCACGCTGCGTCTTGGTTCAGGGCAAACGTGTGGGTGTAAGAGAGAGAGTGGTGGAAGTGTGGTTATAGGAGCAGGGCACTGGCGATGCTGATGCTTTAGATACTGAACAACAAGAGAGTCTAGAGTCAACCGCTCCGTGTTAGTGTTCTGAGGATCACTTTGAAGTGAAATTTGGGAGGAGGATGGTGTCACCATGCCAATATGTGAACTTTCATCCAAATAGTCTGATGGACAATAACCTGCTGTCAAACGCCCATGATCTCGCAGCAAGCTAGAAGTTAGAGTGGAGAAACCCAAGGCTTCTGTTGATAGATTGCTTTTACGGACAGTGTTTGGTGTTGGACAACCAGGTGATTTAAGTCCTTGCTCACCAGTATGGAGACGTTTGCCAGAGGAAGACATAAACCCAATGTCCTTTAATTCTGAGACCTTTCGTTTCGTTGGCAACATGATTGGTGTTTTACACTGACAGTCTGTATCTGTACTGCATTTCAATGAGGACTCTAATGGAGGCTCTAATACACTTGTAGATACAGAGGATTGTTTTGAGGCACTGAAGACCTTCCTGACTGATGATAGGTGAGAATCATGCGAGTGAGCCTGATTTCTCGACTGTGAACCAAAACTTGGTGAGAAAAGCAAATGCTTCTTCTTTGAAAAAGACAAGTTGGTATTACACTTCAAACTTGTATCCTCATCCACTGCAGTAAGCTTTGATTTATTGGTGAGAAATCCACTAGGAGTACGACCAGAGGGCCACTGAAATTGTGTGGAGGAGCTCTCTTGTGTGGAAGCCTGTTGCACTAAAGATGAAGGACCTGCCAATGATGGCAAAGGTGCCAATTGCGCCTCTTTCAGCAATAACGAGGCTGTTGCACTCAAACCAGATGCCTGCAAGTGTTCGTGAATTAGGAGCAAAAGTTCCCTGAAATTTCCAGCAGAGCACAGAGAAGAAAATAAGGTTAACTCAATAGCGGAACAACAAAGGAAGAAGAATAAATCAGAGAATTTATTCCATAGCTAGAGCAAGAAAGCACCAAGTACCTGGAATGGTAAGTGATTGGAGTGGCAGCAGCTATAGCTGCTCTTTCTATGCGCCTTAGTGTAGGGGTAGCAGCATCAGTGGCTGCCAATGTACTGGCACGTCCTGAGTTTGTCACAATCTACAAGTAGACAAAAAATATGGAAAAACCGATCATAAATTGATTGACTGGATGTTTGAGAGGAAAAAAATAATGATTTGATCGGTAAAAAATGATACCGCGAGCAAACCCAGATATTCGGAGACACAAAAGAAATGCTTACCCCAATTAGCTCAATTGCTGCCTGAGAGAGTTCAGCTTGCCACCTCCCTAGCTCAGTTCCATGTGTTTGGCTGCCTGAATCTCGAATTAGTTCTGATAGCTTTTTTCCAACCTAAAAGGCAAACTTGTGATTAGTCATGACATTAATTACATACATGAAGAAAGCTAATAATTCTCTCTTTTTTTTTTTTAAAGAGACAACCAATATGACTAGAAATCTTTAAAAAATGAACTGAGGACGGTAATAATTCCATCCACATCTTTTTTTTTTTATGAAATATTTCATATACATCTATATTACTCTATTGTCTTTTCTCTTCATGTGCCAACCATTTAAGACGAGAAATGATCCCTCAAACTGAGAAGGACGGCCATATCATGTTTAACTTGTTTGAACAATATTAATGCATCACCAAACCAATGTTAAGCGAACAGCTTCTCGCCTCATAAAGTCAAATTGGTTTCAGATATTTGTTTTTTTAACAAATTATTATTTGTGCTTTGCACCAACTCTCTCTCTCTGTTTTTTTTTTTTTTTTTTGATGTGATTTTTTGAGCTGGCTCAAAAAAAAAAAAAAAAAAAAAAAAAAAAAAAAAAAAAAAAAACAAACTTGTTTGAACAATATTAATGCATCACCAAACCAATGTTAAGCGAACAGCTTCTCGCCTCATAAAGTCAAATTGGTTTCAGATATTTGTTTTTTTAACAAATTATTATTTGTGCTTTGCACCAACTCTCTCTCTCTGTTTTTTTTTTTTTTTTTTTTTTTTGATTTTTTTGGCTGGGTCAAAAAAAAAAAAAAAAAAAAAAAAAAAAAAAAAAAAAAAAAAAAATCAACCAAATAACTGAAATCAGTAATTTACCTGAAGCTTTGTCAATATGTGGGCAATAGTATGATCTCTAGCTAAACCAAGTAGGACACGGCAAGCAAGTGCACGAAGACAATCCAGAGCAGCAGGAGGTGAATATATGCGTGGTTGGAGGAGATGGAGCAGAACCTTTATACCATTATTGGCACGGACAGCTTCTCGTGCCTGGCGATATCCCTGTTCTAGTTGCGTAGCAAGACCAGCACAACCTGCCCCAGCACCTAGAGATATTCTACGATCTCCAACCAACCCTGAAATTGGTGTGGGAGGAGGAGCTTGTACATTGGTACTGTTGGATTGGGAACCATGTGCTGCTGCACTGCCTCTATCAGTAGTAGCAGAGTCTCCACCACGATCATTCTGGCTGGACACATTCATAGCTCGATCCGACATATTACGCTCTATGTTTCTATCTCTACTCTCGACATTCGGACCGTTTGAGGTTTGTGGAGCAACAGACTGCTGGCCTTGAGCTAGTAAAGGAGGTTTATTACTGATTGAAGGTGGAGGACAAACAAGATTGACCAATACGTTTAGTGCTGGTTGAATGATCTGCAAAGATACAAACAAACAGTTACAATATCTGTTAATGATAAGACAGCACTACAAAGCGCAAAGTCGACACTAACTGATGCATAAAAGATCTTTACCTCTGGGTCCACATAACTACTAGCAACGCTAGCTGCATCCAAAATAACAGCTATTCCCACACGATTATTGCTCAACGTGGCATTTACAATCATCTTGCGGCTGCTAGGTACAAGTGTAACAATATGAAGCACACCCAATGCATATTGAAGTAAATCATGCAAATAGCGCTCAACAGGAGGGGCCTGCAGAAATTAAAATTCAATGTCACAAGAAAAGACTGGAAAATTAAACGAAATGCCTCAAAATGTGGCCAGGTTGGAAACTAAAAAATTTATACCTGACATAGTTCCAGCATAGTGATATGGCCATTAAAGCCCAAGAACTTTTCGACTGTCGGCCATCGAGTTCTTACAAATGCAGGACCCAACTTGCGGTCCTTCTGAAGTTGCAGAAATACTGCATCCACAGCCTCATTACTGATGTCAAGTGGCTTATAAGCTGCCCTTGCACTTGAAATATTCCGAGCAGCACTTCGATTGCTCTTATTTGGACGAAGAGAATCTACAATTAAAAGAAGATGAGCCCTAAAATATTGCCGCAGAGCTACACAAGTATGATAAGCTATCTGCTTTTCTGATGATGTCAGAACTTCTGCAGGTGACCGCTCATTACGAAATGATCCTGCACTAGACAGCCCTAATGCACCAGAATTTACTCCTGATCTTACAGATGCAGCGTCATTTAAAAGACCCAGTAATTTCTGTAAGCCATCTTGAGAATCAAAAGCATCAAGGACAGCTCTGAAAACAAAAGCAGCAGAAAAAAATAACGCAGCATTTTTTCTGGCCTGATCCTGTGGACACTCAAGAAGCTGAAGAGCTAACTCAACCAACTGGTGTACAACATCCGAGGGAAGAGCGCAAACACGTTCCATAATCCCCTGAAAAGAAAAAAAAAATGAATGAGTGGTACTGAGAGGCAAATGAGCAGAATGAAAGTTACAGCAGGGAGAACACTATGTATTTAAACTTTGTTGAAGTTAATACTGTGTCATTACCTGGAGAGAACCAATGGTAAATAAGCAAGAAGAAAGACCAAAGAAGGTTTGAGCAACTCTGGGGACAGCGAGAAGTTTCTGCATCCCACCTCTATCCACAAATAATGCTGCAAATTTCCGGTGAGCAGCCAGGGCACATATGAGCTTCATTATGTCAGGCAGGAGCATTGCAACCTCCGATGGCTTTGAATTTTTTGAATTCCTTTGTAATAATGCAAGACAAACATCTACACCCTTTTCATGCAATACAGGTCCAAGTACTTCAACATATTCTCCAAGACTTTCAAGGCATTGAATACAGTATTTTTCTCTCAACTTTGCAAGGGATTCAGCATCAGGAATGGAATATTCTTCAACATCCACATTGGTTTCTGTGTCCGTTTCTGTTTCTGTGGCGATTGGTTTCACAGCATCAGCTTCAACACTTTTAGCACTCCTGAATCAACCAATGGGAGGTTACAAAGTGGTCCATCAACTACACGTATCATAAGTAAAATGTGAAATCACCTACCTTGAAACTTCAGTTGCATTGGCAGCATCAACAACTGTAGCAGCTGTTTTGGACGCAGCCAAAACTGCAGCTTCTTCATTGTTTGTAGTCTTAAATTCCTGCAAGAATTGATAGCAAACAACACAAAATTATTGAACTAGATGAGTTTAAAATCATGAGAGAGAGAGAGAGAGAGAGAGAGAGAGAGTTTACAAACCTCCAAAGCTGCACTTTTGACAGCCTCAGCAGCAGCATCACCAGCTGCTTTAACGGCTTCTTCAGGTGCAATGGCTGCTCTAGCTTCAGCTTCAGCAGCTCTAACAGCCTTTTTTACCAAATCCGCGATGTCTTTAGTTCCAACTCTGCATCCTTGGAAGCAGTCATCATTATCCGCTCTTTCCAATGAATAAACATCAGAAGTATTTCTGCCCAAGTACTTTTTAGCATCTGATACTTTTTTCACATCCGCACTTTTTGATGCGCCTTTGTCTCTATTACTCCGCCCTTGTCCCAATCGGCTACCTGATCCTGGTGAGGTCAGCACTTGTTCATTTTCAATAGGCCCTTCATTAAACCTGCCCCCCTTTCCTCTAGATCTTACACGACTAAGTTTACGCCTTGCGGGGTCTTCTCTCCCATTTTCATCAAAATCCATGAACTTTGACCTCCCTTCTGGTATATCATGCGTATGCCATCTCTCCTCCTCATCACCACCATCAGGTGGTTCTCCACCATCAACCCAACAGTCTTCTCCAAATGTTTGACGACACATGCTTCCTTCCTTATCCCTCTCTACACTTTGATCATCTAAAGATTTTTCATCTGTAATTCTTGAGTCGTCAAAGTGAGTAGCTTCCAAAACCTGCCGAGCCTTGCTCCGACTTTCATCTCTACTTCTTATGCAGATAGCACTAGAAGCATTCTTACTTTCGGTTAAGTGACCCGAATCTTTCTGAATGGTACTTGCCTCTCCCAGGACTCGGACACGAAGATAACGCATAAGCTTGGCAGATAATCTAGATGTTAAAACATCTTCCACAATTTGACCTCCACTGATTCAAATAAAAACTTTTAGAAATGTGAAATAAAATAGCGACTAAAAATATAACAAGAAAGGAAAAATAAACTATCCACAATATAAGCATACCCAGCAAGAAAATAAGCAAGGAGTCCTGTTGAATAGGTCTTCAACATTTCAGAATCTAAGGCCTCCTTTCTCCCAAAATCACGCCTTGAGTTGTGGTCATCACTTGAAAAGCTGGCGGTCTCATCCATCACTTTATGTTTGATATTGTCGATTACTGTTTCGTCAAACATGTGAGGAGACTGCCACATTTCATAAGCAATCAGCTTTAAAAAAACAAAAATAAATAGATAACAACCCAATTGAGTCAAGGGGGAAAAGAAAAGAAGGAAAAAAATCTTACAATCCATGTTACTGAACAGCTAAGAAGAAGCCTTGCAACGGCTGCCTGGACAGAGACAGAGTATCTTGTTTCTGATAGATACGTTGAAGAAATCAATTCATAAAAATCATCATTGTCCTGAACAAAAGAGAGCAGTTTAGGAAACAAATTCCATACAATAAATAATCCAGTAAATTCATATACTCGTTACTGAACCCTATTGCCAAATAACAAGTTACCCTAACTAAGGTTCCTAGCCGTCCAATATTATGAGAAGCACGGTTATTGCTGGAGGCATGACCATTCTCTTCCATGAATCTGCAATTAAAATTTTATATATTTGGGACAAAAGTTAAGATCAAAGACTTGATGAATTAAAGTAACAAATGTCCAAACAAAACGTTGATAAATGAGACACAGCTTGTGTAATGAAGATGAAAATCACAATATACACATATAGAAACTAGCCAAATCATCCTAGGCATAGAGACAATAACTATCAGGCTCTAAACGCAGGCTGATTTAAGATCAAAAGCAAAGCGTGATAGGTCTAAACTCTAGGAATACAGACTCCCTTAAGTGGCTCCTATTGATACGTGCCAAAAGGCGAGAGTGCTAAATGCCAAACTATTCTCTACAACCTAAACCTTATGGCTGCAGCCAAAGAAAGAACATATGGAAACCGGCCAAGGAACAGAAGTCCCTCCCCTAGTTAAAAGCATCAAAAGGCAACCATTTCGCCCAAATATGACTCGTAAATACTTCTACTTGCTTTCTATTTTACTAGAAATGAGAGAATCTAAACTTTTTTCGCAACAATAGACAAGGCATGTACGTAGCACAAGACTGTATAAGGGTCTCAGCTGAGTACAACTTGGCATTAAATTAATTAACAAGTGAAACCCAATCTTGGGTTGATCGAAGTAGGCTTGGAAATGTGACGTCTGTAGCTGAAATACTGTCTTTGAACACAAAAAAAAATAATAATAATAATAGAGAAAATGAAGAAAAATACACGCACGCACACATATATAGTTGTCTACACAATATAAGAGATAGAAATGATCAAAAAGAAAAAAGAACCTAACACGAGCTATCATACGATAACACAGACATCCCATGATTAAAATCTGCAACCTCAATTGTCTCAATGATATTCTCGACATAGTTTTCAGTCTTCACTGACCAGAACAAGAAAGTCATACAACACTGAAAATGATACAGAACGGGATAGACGATCGAATATCAGCCAAATGCAAAACCCACAAACATCTTAACACGAACAAATTCGTTCGGTTGAAACACCAAGAAAATTAAAAGTCAAAAATCAAAAAAATTACCGAGACTCTTGAGTTTCGAAAAGTGAGGCGAGGGCGTGGAGGACGGTAGGGTTAGGGTTATCAGGCGACGAAGTAATTTTCTCCATGAGCTTCTGAGCCTTGGCAATCAATTCGTCGTCTTCATTCTTCGCTTCCTCTTCCTCCTCTTCCCCATCGTCTCCGCCCTGAGACTGAGATTCCGGCACCGGCGGCGGGGGCGGTGGCGGCGGCGGCGGAGGAGAAACGCCTTGCCCTTGGGCATGGATTGGTGCTTGCTCATCCATGACCGCCTCCATATATGTCGACTGAAACCGAGAAAAAAATCACAATTGGAAAATTAACGAATTTCTAGGGTGAACTTGATTACATATACACTCGATATACAAATACATACATATATAGATATAGTTGTTGTTGTGTATATTTTCTTTAAATTTTATGGGTGTAATAATGTGTAAATTTGGGAGTCTGCAGAGAATATCGTGCGAAAACGAAAGAGGAACTCTTCACTCTCTAGTCCCAATCGGGGTTTTTTGTATTTATAGTGAACGGATCGGAATGTTCACGGAAATCCGACCCGGTTCTTTGCCTAACCCTACCCTGCCGGTGATGGAAATGGATCGGGTTATCATGACCCGTTTATGAATAATTGGTGGGAAAAAATAACGGTCAAAATTTTTTTTTTAGAATTTTCTTTTTCTTTCTTTTTTTTTGTTAAAGAATTTTCTGGGATATTTTCTTGATTATAGAGATAAGGAAGAAAATATACACCAATTTTACATAAATTTCAGAAAAAATATGGATATCGTTAGAAGTATTATAAAAATTATAACAATTTATATTATAACATATTTTTAATATTTTTTTATTGTATAAATATTAAAAAGATATATAAATAAACAAGTTTTACATAAAAAAGCTTCTAACATATTACATTTTTTAATATAAAAAGGAAGCTTTATAAGGTTTAAACGTGGTCAGGATCCCAGCTTGATTCAAACAATATTAGTATTATGACATGTTATTTTTTATTCAAATAATATTAGTATCATGACATGTTATTTGAATAGTATCGAATATAATTATGAACATGCTACATGTAGATTTGTTGATCCCTTCCCATTGTATTTCCATTAATTGAAAACTGCTATTCTCCTAATCGTCTGCCTGAGATAATGGTAGTATGTTCAAAAGAGGATAATTGAAATTTCATATCCATCCTAGTTTCTAAAGTTATGAATTATGATTACATGAATAATGATCATAATGAACGTCAGAAGTCTCGTTGAAATAACTGCTATAATTAGAATCTAAATTCATCGATTATAAACTCATAAAAAAATTATCTTCATCAAATGTTTGCATTCTTGATATTTCTCACTCTCTTCTTGCTAGACGACAAAATAAATAATACAAAAATATGTATATTATAAAACAAATTTTAAAAAACCAAAAAAAAAACATTAAAATCTCTATTTTTGAAATCACCAAAATTTTTCTAAAATTTCTCTTAATTTCCCTGAAATTTTCATAATTTTTACCCTAATTATACCATATGCAAATCAATATCGATATTTAGATCGATATTTATTAAAAATTTCTTAATATTTTGTTGAAATTGATTTATAGTAGACAAAAATTTAGGGACCCTCAAAAATCTAAAAGTTCTTCCGAAATTTAATTCCCCAAAATTCGGTGAAATTTCAAACCTTTGATTATAGGTGATTTGTATAACGTCAAACATTCTTTCCCTTTATTGTACACATTGTAACGACTAACGAGTATATATTGTTAATATTCACAAAGTTTTTCTTTGTTAACTTGGGGTAGAGACGTTCGAATTTAATTTTGACAAAGTTATTTATAATTTTGGGTCTCATAGTTTTATTACCAAATTCCTGATTCCTCCTTTGAATCAATTTTACTTTGTTGTACTGCTGAGGAGGCATGTCCTATGTGAACTTCGGCCTTCACTTGAATAAATTCTTCATTATCTCCTTTTCTTGCTAATATTAATCGTGTATGGTCTAAAACAATTGAGGGTGTTTGTTTTACAATTCAAGTTAATAATTTGAACTGTGTTTATAAGAGAAAAATAATATAAAAAAAAATGTAAAATTTAAATTTTTATAAAAAAAAAGACTGTAACAATAAAACTTGAGTTGTAAAAAAATAAGAGTGTGTCTCGCTTGACACTTTTTTATATCTTAAACTTTACGATGTTCTAATGTTCTTTTTTTTTAACATTTCTCTATTTATATATAGATGAGTTTTTAATAGTTTTGTTTTCTATTTGATAGTTACTTATTAAATATATAAATTTATTGATGCAGTGTGATAAGAATATAATTTTATTAATCATTATTTTTTTTACTCAACTACTCAATTTATTACAATTTTTTTTATCAATATTACACTGTTAAAATAATAATGCTTACTTATAGATAAATATCAGTATAACAATTAAAACCACACCTTATGTTTTGAGGCATGAGTGAGTTTATTGACAAAACTCGATTACCCACTGTGGCCTAGTTTGATTCATGAGTTCAAACCCATAATTATAATTATGCTACAATATTTTTCTTTAAAAAAAAATTGAATTTAAAAAATTTTCACCAATAAGTTCTATCTCAAAATTTAAATATAAATTCAAAATCATTATTTTGAATCCATTAAACCAAATGAGCTCTATATATTTTAATTGAAGCCGCCTAGAGGTGTCAAATGGGCCGGGCCATCTATGGACGGCCCAGCCCGGCCCAGCCCGGCCCAGCCCGTAATAGTGCTGGATTCGGCACGACCCAGTTCGCTACTGTTACGGGCCATGCCAGCCCAGCACGTGTAATGGGCTAGGGCTGGGCCTCAGCTTCTCAGCCCGCGGCCCAAGCACGTAGAGGCCCGCAGCACAGCCCTTGTTCGGCCCGGCCCAAGCCTTGATTCGGCCCTTGTTCGGCCCGGCCCAAGCCCTGATTCGGCCCTTGTTCGGCCCGGCCCAAGCCTGCGAAACGGCCCATGAAACAGCCCATTTCAATTGGTCCAGGGGGCCATTCGCGGGCCCAACAGGCGGCACGTGACAGGCCAAATGGGAGGCCCGTCACATGCCGCATGTTGGGCCCGCGAAGGGCCCAACGGCCAGAATCCAAAATTTCACCCCAAAATCCCCTATAAATACCCCTTAATTCCACCATAAATCTCACACAACAATTCACTCTCAACTTCTCATCTCACTCTCATTCTATCTCTCAACTTGTCTCTTTGATTTTGATTCTAAGCTTTTTTCTCGCGTTCATTCATTTTCTTGCTCTTTTATTTACAAAGTTCTATCAATTTCTAGAAAATGGCCGCACCAAACTTTCCTGATTTCATTGTTCTTCCTAAGCTTGGTGATGAGGCATTTTTTGAGGAAGAAATGATGCCTCCCAACCTCATCCCCACTGAACCAGAAAATGATTTGGTGGATAATGCTTTAGTACACAACGAGGAAGTTGGAGAACGCAGCTGAGGAAAAAGACCGCGAACTTCTCTGGCATGGCAGCATTTCACCGAGGAGCCCCGACCAAATCCAAAAACAGGTGAGATGAAAATTTGTGCGGTGTGTAAATATTGTAAAAAGCACTTTTCTAATAAAAAGGGTGGGGTACTGGTCATCTGGATAGATATTGAAAAGTATGTCTCCCGCCAACAAACATTATCACTCACATCACAGGGGTTACAAAATTTTACATACGATGCACAACGTGCTCGTTCGGCACTAGCTAAATTTCTAGCTAGTGCCGAATTGCATCTTTCTTGTAGATGATGCCTCGTTCGAATAATTCATCCAGACATTCTTTTGCCCACAATTTAAATGGGTAAGTAGAAACACAACTCGTTCTGATTGCATGAAAGTTTTTTATGCAATGAGACAATCTCTTGTTGATAATTTTAGGACTTTTAATGCTACTGTCTCTTGCACTTCTGATCTGTGTGAGGGGTGCAATAAAACTATATATTTATGTGTCACAGCGCACTACATTGATGACGATTGGATTTTACAAAGAAGAATAATTAGTTTTCGTTTATGTCCATATCCTCATAACACATCATCTATTTTTAGTACAATAATGAAAATTTTTAGGGTTTATGGGATAGAAGATAAAGTTTTAACAATTACTTTTGATAATGTGTCAGCTAATACAGCTGCAATTAATCTGTTTAAACGTAGTTTGAAACCAACATTTGGAGGAGAAATTTTTCATCAATGGTGTGCATGTCACATAATTAATTTAGTAGTTCAGGCAGGAATTGAACATATCTCAGCTAATCTTACAAATATTAGAGAATCATTATCATTCATATCTAGTTCTGGAGCTCGGCTCAAAGAATTCAAACAATATTGGAAGAACAGTCATATGCGCCCAAGAAAGTTTTCAACTGACGTGAGACATAGGTGGAATTCAACATATTTAATGTTGAAGGCAACACTCCCGTATTCATAGCTTATCACGACATACGTAAACAGTAAGAACGATTAAATTTTAATTTTCAATCTTGATTAGTAGATTGCTGAGTATTTTTTTAAATTTCTAGAAGTTTTTTACAATGCTACTGAATTACTTTATGGAGTTTATTATCCGACTGCACATTTAGCTTTACATCAACTATTTAATATTACATAAACATTTTCTTATTATAGTGATTCATAACTTTTTAGAAATATAGTTAAGTTAATGGAAAATAAATTTAAAAGTTATTGGTCAGATTGTCCTATGTTATATGCATTGGCAACCATTTTAGATCCTAGGTGCGGAGTAGATGAAACTTAATCATTGATGACTGCTACATCAGAGAATTTAGAAATAGATATGCAACTAAGTATTACTGACGCTAAGAAAATGTTAGAAAATATTTTTAGTTTGTATGAAGCAAAATACAACACAGGTCAAAAAGAACAGGAAACTTCATCGTCAACTGCCAGTTTGGGGCCTAAAGGATCGTCGTAGAGTTTCTTGAAGAAGAAAGAGAAAACAGCATGATCGTCCTCAACACAAGCGTTTACGGAACTAGTAAAATATTTTGAAGCAAATTTTGTAATCAATGACGACAAACTAGACATCTTATAGTGGTGGAAGAGCAAGACCGATCATTTTCCAACACTGTCCATAATAGCTCGTGACATTCTGACAACTCCAGTGTCAACGGTAGCATCGGAACAAGCTTTTAACGCAAGCAACCGAATTCTTGAGGAGAAGAGAAGCAGAATGCATCCAGATATCTTGGAGGGGCTAATGTGCGTTAAAGACTGAGAAGATGTCAGAAGACGAAAATAACAATACACAGATGATTCGATGCAAGAATATTTTTCTAACTTAGAAATAACAGAATATTCTAGAAGTACTTAGGTTTGTAATTTACTATTCATAGCTACTGCACTATTTTTTCCTTCGCTAAGGTTTTGTCCCGATCTCCCAACGGGTTTTACTTAGCAAGATTTTTAACGAGGCAATCATTTATGTGTACTCATATTACGTCAATTCAATAAAATCACATCTTTTGAGCCATATGATATATTTTTTTAATTAAATTTAAAAAAAAATACAAGGGTCTGGGCCTAGGCCCTTATGGACTAAGGCCAAGGGCCTGGACCGGGCCTGAGTTTTTCTTCTCAGGTCCAGCCCAGGCACGACCCTGCACTGTGCAGGGTCATGCTAGGCACGGCCCAGGCCCTTAATGGGCCTAGTGTCAAGCGTGTCGTGCCGGCCCAGCACGGCACGTTTGACAACTCTAAAGCCGACCACCCTGACAATATCTCTATTCTATTACATATCTACCAGGTACAATATGTTTCTTGTGCGGTTGACGTTTCGGTGAATCTTTCTTTTTTAATTTTTTAATTTTTTAATTTTCCCATTTTCTTGTATTTTTTAATTTTTTTATTTCCTTTCTTGTTTTTGTTATTTTTCATTTTTGACTAATTTTTTTCCTCTATACTTGTTTTTAATTATATAAAATTTTTATTTTTCTTTTTATCCTTTTTAAGATTTTTTATTTTTTTGTCTTTTCCTTTTTAATTTTTTTCCCCTATTGTCTCTTGACCCGTTTGTTTTATAGGTTCAAATTACTGTTTATATTCGTTTATTACAGTGTTTTCTCTCATAAAATTTATTTTTTTAAATTTTTTATTTCATAACTATGAATCAAACATAGTTTTTATTTATCTTTTCTTTTTATTTTCTTAAAAATAATCACCACATCAGCATATTACAAAAAAATAATCACCACATCAGCATATTGTTTCAATAGTAATAAATAGAGAAAATATAGTTTGTTGTTCTTGTATCTATATTTACTATTTGATTTAAAATCGAACGACTCTCATTAAGCACCTTACTAGTAAGATGAAAGTACACCTCCTACCGTATGTTTTCATGAATTCAACAAGAATGATATAGGAGGGTTTTAAAATTTTATAAACGCATATGCCAAGTTTTTCAAAAATAATACTTACTAATAAATGGTATATTTTAAAAACCTTTTTAAATATAATAGCATATTTATCTGTAAATATTTAATTATTAAGTTGTAAAAGAATATATTTACTGATCAATGGACGTAAATAAATTATTTATCGATAATATGTTATTAATTTGTGAATTTACGTTTTTAATTTAAGTTAAAATTTAATTTTATATAATAATTTTTATTATAATAAAAAAAATTAATGTGACTTTTTATTAAAATTTTCACTCTTAATAAAATTAGAATTGAAAATTAGATCGGTGAATAGAGGCCTTAACTTGTCGTCGTCTCGTCTCCCAACTCCCCGTCGCTGGTTCTTCCCCTGGCAACCGCACAGGCGTATCCTCTCTGTTTGGTCGCATGGCTAACTCTAACCTGGACACGGACAACGAATCCCAATGCGGAACAGAACCTGCTCCTCCTCCATCAAACTGGGAAGAGTATGCAAAGCAAGAATAACTCATAAATCCCACATAAACAAAAACATGGATTGAATTTGATTTCCTTTTTCTTTTTTCTTTTTTTTGTTTTTGTTTTTCAGATCCCAAGATTCCATGAAGAAGAAGCTGATCGCGGAAGACGAATTCGTATCAACGGAGGCTTTGAGGTACGTGGGTGGAGTCGACATAAGCTTTTCGAAAGAAGACCCGTCAGTGGCTTGTGGGACTCTCGTGGTTTTGGAGCTCCATAGCCTCCGAGTTGTCTATGAAGACTTCTCTGTCGTCACTCTTCACGTGCCTTACGTTCCTGGCTTCCTTGCCTTCAGAGAGGTCCGTCCTCTAGTTTTGATTTTCTGTTTGGTTTCTGGGAAAATGTAAAAGAGACTGGGATAGGCAAAAAGAAAATGTTTTGTATTTCTTGTACCCTTTTGATTCTATAAATGATTTTGGGTCTTTTATTTTCATTTGGGTTTTTTTTTTTTTTTGGGTAGGATTACAAGTTTTAATTTGGTGCTGCAAATTGGTTTAACTTACTTTCAATGATATTTTTCATATGGGATTATATAAATATTCATGTTTAAGCGTATTTTTAATCATGCGTTTGATCTTTCATTTATTTGAAGATTTTTGTTGATGCTATTTCTTATAGGCCCCAGTGCTTCTAGAGCTTTTGGAGAAAATGAAAAACAATGCCAATCCTTTCTACCCGCAGGTGAATCTTATACTTAACAATATCAATCTTCATCCAAAGCAAAGAGTTTACACTTTCCATGATTACAGGTGCTAATGGTTGATGGAAATGGAGTACTTCATCCCCGAGGCAAGTGTTTTACCACAAATATGAATTGGAATACGTAGTCTTTGTGAATTGTAGATGGAGCACAAAAGAGCCTTTTGTTTCAATAATGATTTGGGCGTGAACATTTTGTTTGATTTAACTCTTCTGAGCTGGTGAGTAGTTTGACATTATTGTGAACATGGATTTTATAAATTATGTCCTCCCTATTAACATCCTGTTGAACTACAAAATGAATGCAAGGTATATTTGTATATTGATGGGGCATTGCATAAATAACTATATAAAATATGATGTCTGTTGAACCAGAGCATGGAGGCAATCTGTTGCTAATCCCACTGCTTAGTCCTTCGATAATCATAATGAATTTCCAAGAAATTCAGGAAATTTTTTTTTTCTTGCTTGCTTAGATGTTTGGTTAGTACTAATTTTGCAAGAGAAAACTTCGTGATTATATTTTACTGAGATGATTAATCCTGTTAAGATTGCAAGTTGTAATTGATGTGAAGCAATCAAAGCACCATGGTCCAATAATGAATTGTAGAATGGTTCTAAACTTTACCCCCTTTTTTTTCCTTAGGTTTTGGCTTAGCTTGTCATTTAGGCGTGCTGGCTAATCTCCCTACTATTGGGGTCGGAAAGAATGTGGGTCCTTGACTCTATTTACACTCTAAAATATGTGCGTGTACATTTAGTATGCCTCTCTCTTTACTATATGGATAAAAGTTTTGTATGTATTGGAATGTTTAACAATTATCATAATGGTCTTTGTATTGCTAGAATACAGAGAATAGGATTACAAGAAATAATCATCCAGATCCAGGAACAATCATGATGTGGGCACTATCAGTTCTCAGTTCTCTGCCAATTCAGAGTTCAATTACGTTACCTGCTTTAGTTGTGACACAATGAATTGATTCTTTATGTTGATGCCATCTGCGTAGTCGTTGTAAAGTTTATCTTTTGTATCTATCAGCTGCATCATGTGGATGGTCTTACACTGTCTAGAGTGAAGGAACTTCTTAAAGCGAGAGAACATCTTGCTGAAGATTTCATTACTTTGACAGGAGATTCGGGACGCATATGGGGAGTGGTAAGAATTAAGACTTTTCTTTTGCCCCCCTAATGAAACTAGTGAAATCTACAATATAAAGGGTTGCTGAGATTGCTACCCTCTGATACTTTTTAAAGGAGGTTTCTTTAAGTTTCAACTATAATTAGCACATTCAGTTAGCAAAAAGAAAATCATTATCATTCTAATTTCTAGGCCTTTCTTATTTTTGATCCCTGGTAGCTTGGTTCCAGTTGATCGATATAGATCCTTAAATCCTTTTCCATGCCATATATTCCATACGTGTGAGTAGTTTACTTACTTAGAAGTGAGCTAAATAGCGCTTTTATCAACGCTGAGCTAAGAATTGTTAATGTTCTTAACTTTCTGTTTTGTCCATTTTTGCTTCTTTTGCTCTTTCCATTTCCAATTCGAAATGTGCTCATGATCCTTATCATAGTTATTATTGCCTCAAGTTTAAATTTTGATAGATTAGTGCTTTGATGATTAACTCTCTTTTTTCCCCCTCTCTTTCAAGGCAATGAGATCTACAGGAGGCTCATTGAAGCCAATATTTGTTTCGATTGGTCACCGAATGTCGCTCGATACTGCCGTCGCAATTGTTAAAATGACTTGCAAGTATCGTGTGCCCGAGCCTATCCGCCAGGTGAAATAACTAGATACTCCCTGAAAACTTTGAATGTCTGCTATAGCAATATTAGCCTTTCTACTTCAGGACAAAGTTATTGTCTATTAGCTACTTTAGATTGGAATCCTTTCATGGTTTAATGAGGGAAAATTGGCAAGAATAATTCCACTCCTTCTCTTATTGATCTTTGACCATGACGAACTCAGTCGTTCTACTTTGATTCTTTCTTCTTTGTTAGACACAATGTAGAGGGATATGATATTCATAAGTTCTAGTTTTCACTCTTATATGAAATGCAGGCTGATATAAGATCAAGAGAGTACCTTCGGAAGCATCGGGTTTGACTAAGTTGTTGCTGGATGATCCAAGCCCGCGTACCCGGTAGATTCGCTCTCTTCATTTCACTTGCTAAATGAATAAAATAAATAAATAATAATATCAAGGGATTTATGGTGTGCTTATCCTCCCTACTTAATTTCGAACAGAGTTGTGTGGAAAAGTGAAATCTATATAGCCGACCCCAATTAGTTGGGATTAAGGCTTGTTGTTGTTGTTGTTTATCCTCCCTACTTACTCTGTCTTTGTAGTTTTATTAGTTATTTTGGATATCCTGTTCATACAACTTTTTGATATGAATGACGTGGAGCTTCAATATATGTTTGTTTATTTATTATGATTTAGATTGAGATAAAAATGGAAGATGTTAAGCAAAAGGAAAAAAAAAAAAAACTTTTATATTCGTAAGGTATTCTTACAAGCAGTGCGTGTTTATGACTGATCCAAATCATGTTAAAATAAAACAATTAGATTTTTTTTTTCCCTTTCTACCAAAGAATTCTCAAAAAAAAAAAAAAAAAAAAATCAATAAGGTTTTGTTTCTAGAATTGGTTGACCATAACCTGGATTTTAATCAAATTGAATTGCATAAAAATTAGCAGGTGATTTAGTCCCCATGAATACATGTATACTATCTACAATCTTTCACTGAAATTCCAGGCCCCAGCCCCAAATTAATAATCACAGCATGTGACATTTAACATATCCTATATAAATAACAAATGGAAAATAATAATAATAATAATACAAGAAAATCACAAAAGCCTATAATCACAAAATCACAAAGAGAATCACCAACACAAACAGAATCAAACCAACAGGCTTTTCAAGATGTCCAACTCCTCCCACATTTCCTCCTTCATTACTTGAGGAAGAAGGCAGTTGGATCATGATCCTAAATTTGCAGTCTCCAGTTGAGGGGTCTTGGTTGGTGACAACTGAAAGGCCATCTGGGAATTTACAGGCACTCTCAAGCTGGTCATTTATCTGGTAGTAACTGTTGAATGCATACGAAATGTTCCCGCGAGAATCCAAGCTTTCACAAGAAGTACCATATCCAAGACGTGTGCAATCTCCATTTGCACAAGCATAGCTCACGCTCAGCACCACTTGTGGATCATCCAGGTTAGCTGATGAAGACAAAACACACCATTGTTGAGCCAGATAACTTACACTGCTTGCGGGTACTAACGCATTTGAGCTTGTGGTTCCGAGATTCAGCTGGTACTTGGCTGTCCCGTCGAAGTAAAACAGACCCCAATGGCGTTCAAAGTTACCTGGCTCAATGCTTTTGTGATCTTCATCAATAAGGCTAAACAGGTAGACTTCCATGGTGCCTGGTCTCATTGGGGTTCCTGTCCCGGCATTGAACCGGGTCATGAACCCTTGGTTGAACCGCTGTGCATACTGCAGATTTGCGCTGCGGTCTCCGTCAGTAGGCCAGCCAATCTCACCGACAATAATTGACATGTTTCCATATCCATGTTTCTGCAGAGCCCATACAAGGGTGTCATGGTTTGCATCGAACACATTCTGATAGATCCTTCCATTGTCATTTATGGAATTGGAGTTGCCATCAAAGAAGGCAAAATCAACGGGGAAGTTAGGATCATTGTGGAGGCTGATGAAGGGGTAGATGTTTACAGTAAAGGGAGCGCCATTGTCGCTCAAGAACTTAATTATTTCGAGCATAAGATCACGGATGTCTGATCGAAAGTCGCCATCTGAAGGTTTGTCGCTCGAGCTGCCATACACATCAGCATTTAGAGGGATAGTGACTTTAACTTGGTTGCCTAAACCAACTTTCGCTATGGCTGACTGAACGTTTTGAAGAGCGGGAAAAGTTGTCCCAAGGAAGCTGCCATTGTAGGTTGCCAAGAAAGGTTCATTCCCAACTGCAACATACCTTGCAAAAGACATGTAGATATGAATAAGTCCTTGCAAAGGACACATGAAAAAGAAGTGAACAAGTTCTGACAGAGAACATCAAGTCCAAGCTGAACCTTGTAACTGTCAATCACTTATTCACTACTTTCGCAATATCTTTATTCAAACTAGAAAGTTTCAACTAAGAACTCTTTATGAAACTTTGCAGTTGTTTTGTGCTGTGTAATAAGATCTAATATATGAGTTGCTAAGAGGTTCAAGTACATTTTCAAGCAAAAAAAGAGGTTCAAGTATATTCTGTGAGTCTACGGCAGAAGAAATATGTTCTCTTTTCTCTAGTTTACAATGAAATAGGTCTATGAAGTCCAAATCTGTTATTAAACTTTAAACAACATACAAAAGTGATTTGTTCCTTAAAAAACAGGTTCTAAGTTCTTAATTTCTCTCTCAAGTATATGGTTTAGGTTCATTTTGAGTGTGATTCTTCTCTGTTTACAAAATCAAATACCTCGTCAATCTCAGCAGATGCTTCACTTGTTAAATTTCTTTTATTGCGACAAGAAAGGGAGGAAAAAAAAAAGAAAAAGAAAAGAAAGATAACTCCTTTTCTTTTATGTTCTGAATTCCATGTACTTTTGCCAGAGGAAAAAGAATTTGTATATAGAAGAAAAATGTTGAGATATGTTACTTTTTCCCCCTAAAAATATGTAGTTTAGGTGGTGATTATTTTAAAGGCGCCACAATCATATCTATCATCCCAACATAAAGAAATATGGAAAGAAATACAAGTAGTTGTAAGGTACATCATATCAGAACCACCAAACCAAATGAATACCATATATTTTCACACTAATTTAATTAGAAGAAAAAAACAAAAAAACATTTCCCTAACCAATCCCAATTCATCACCACAAAGCCAATCAGAGCTGGTCAATTGTCACAGTTTTTTCTAAGGAACAAAGGAAATATCTCATGTAAAATAACGTTAAAGGTAGCTCAACGGAAAATCACACCCAACTCTATCACAAGGTTTAGGAGTTCAAATCCCGACTTCAAATTCAAAAATTCAAAAAAACAAAAAAACTTTTTATCAATCATTTTCTTGCAGAATTGCCCATCAGTCTAAAAGAGGATTTTTAGCAGTTCTAGTATTACCTTACACCTACACCATTGGCAACGTGTGAGGACAAGTTTTTGGACACCCAATTCTCAGCTGCTTTTTCACTATTAGCCAAACTATTGAGCATGTCGTTTGGGATTCCCACCATGACCTGAATCCCAGAATTCCCAAGAGCTTTCAATATAGTGGAATCAGCATCAAAAAGCTTGACATTTTGGATCCCATTGTCCTTTAACATCTTCACCACCGTGGCAGCAGGCAAAGGGTGCGTTGACTGTGTTCCCCAGTTGACTCCAATTCCCTCTACTGATTTAACCATAGCTATAAAGAACAGCAAGAAGACAAAAACAAGAAACCCACCATGAAAATTGATGCCTTTCAACAACCCCATGAGCAGAAAACTGTTTGGTTGAGGATAAATCAGTGAAAGAGAAGTGGGTTTTGCGAGTTTTTCTCTGAATTGGGAAGTGAATATACTTAGCACCCAAGAAAGATCCAAGCCCAAAAACTTGAAGATCAATTGAGAAAATTACAACACAAACACAAAATATGAAAAAGAACAACAGATATGAAAAAAAGAGACACAAATTCTTGCCGAGGAAAGAAAACTTGGGAGGGACAAGTTGTGTTCAAAGGTGAGAACATTTGCCCAAAAAAGGAAAGGTAGATGAGTTGATGAGAACTAAAAAGATAGCACAAAAGAGCTAATTGAGCACTATTAGTAAGTAGGATTAGCCACAAAAAAAAAAAAAAAAAGAAGTCGGTAAGTAGAGAGAGAGAGATCAACATGCACGGAAAATCATGTCGTTGAATTCTGTGCTGATGATTTAATGACATTTGGGACATGAAAAGAGACTTGTCATAATTGTTTTCTTTAGAACGGTTTGACTTCGAGTATCCTACGGTTGGATTTGTCTGACAAGTTAAGAGATAAAATCAAACAGTAAACGAACAATTGTTCTGAATTCTGACACAATTTATGAACAGGAATAACAAAAGATGGAATGTGTCTTTTGTTGGGGCTTTTTGTCCCATGCGTTGTGGTATATTGGATTAGACTCTTCGGCAAGAAACCAGAATAATCTAAACTAAACAAATAATTAAGTTCAGTTAAATTAATGAAATAACACGTATTTGACACTGGTTCGAGTTTCACTATGGTAAAAAATTCTCAGAAATAGTCACATTTAACTTTTTTACTACAGTAAAAAACTCTCACATAACATCACATCTTAACTCGAATTAAAAATTTAAATTAGCAAACCGAACGGCTCTTTAATAATTTAAGCAGATTATCTTTTAAACTTTTAATTTTAATAAATTATTCCTGAATTTAATAAAGTGTTGTGTAGCGTTCCAAATTGCTGACAATGATCAATATTCGGACAAAAATATCCTTATATACGTTAAATAAACTTGTTTGAAGTGAGAGAATGAAAAAATAGAGAATTTTTTTTGAGTGTATGAATTTAAATTTTTATCATTTATTCTTGATAAATACTCTTTTATTAGTATAATTATGTAACTAAAAAAATTATGAATAAAAAATAAATGATAAAATCATGACTCATAGTTAAGATTACTCTTGAAATTTTGAATGAACAATTAAAATACGTCATACTATATGCACGTTGTGTGGTTTTTTTTTTTTTTTTTTAAAATTCAACATCCTTATTAATTTAGTACACTCCGCAATATCACATAAAGTTTAAGACTCAATTATCACAATTAAATGTTCAAAGGCAACTTAAATTTAAGAGGCAAAAACCTCAGAAAACCTAAAATATGTTGAGACGAGCCTATCCTGTGGATATTTCTTATTATGACTTTTGACTTCACCACATGCTTTGCCGGAAAGAAATTGTTCCCCGTTTTTTTTTTTTTTCTCTTTAAAAAAAAAGAAAAAAAAAAGAGAAAGAGCTAGTTATTATTAGTAAGTTATTGCATTTGCCTTCATATATCCATTTGCCCAAAATACCTTTCACAGAAGATGTGTTTGGGTCCTCCTGTCCAGCTCATGACAACTGGGGTGGGGCTGATTGGTGTGGGAATTTCTTCATAATAAAGTTTATCAAAAAGTATTAAACTCCAAAAAAAAACGATTCCTATTTAACTTAACAACGTAACTAAATCATTGCTTTATGAATTTCAAAAAAGAAAAAAAAAATCATTGCTCCGTGAAAATCACGATTACTTATCGAGTGAAATATTAGCATTAATTGAGAGAGTAAACAAACATTCTTGCTCTATTGGTTTCATGACTAAAATATTAGAACCGCTACGGTAAGTAGCTTTTTCTTAAAAAAACAAAAAAATAAGAGAGATTTAGGCCTCGTTTAATTTGTTGATTCGAATTTTCAATTCGAATTGAGATGTAATTTTATGAGAGAGCTTTAACTATAACAGAAAAAGTTAAATACGATTTTTTATGAGATGTGATTTTATGAGAGAGCTTTAACTGTAGCAGAAAAAATTAAATGTGACTTTTTATGAGAATTTTTAACTGTAACAAAATTAAAATTAAAAACTCAAGTTAGTAAAATAAACTAGGCTTTAAACTCTCAATCTTAATAATCACATAGATAGGTATTACGATGTACACGACCTTTTTTTTTTTTCGGGTGGTAAGGATAAATGAACTTTATACTCACTAAACACTTATTATATAAATTAGAAGTGCTTCAAAAAAAAATTATAGAAATTATAATGCGTAGATGTCGATGTATAATACAATATACGTTAACGTCGTTCTCATTGTTTTAATGAAATTGAAGGCCATGTGCTTTCTATGGACGTTGTCTGGAGTTGCAACTTGGAACAAAAGCCGCCGCATTTAAGCCGCTAAATTGGACAACAAAAGCTTTTTCTTTGTTTTTAATGTGACAAAAAGGATAAAATACAAAAGTGATAAGAGTAATGTTATAGATCATTACTACATGTTTTAAACTAATTATAATACATACATACATACATATGAGACTTATAATGTAGTTCTTCACCGCATGCATAGGACGATAAACGCGAGGAAAATAACCGACGGCATTATCAAGGTTTTTTTTTTTAATAGCCAGATTCATATTTCAAAAGCAGAAAGGAAAGAAAATAAACCAAGTTTTTACACTTATCCTTATCTATTATATAGTAGCTTATGCAGTCACTTTTGCAGTCCCATTCCCCTCAAGTTCACTAATTGTGATCTGACCATATTCACCCTTAGGATCCTTTTCCGCCTCATCAAAGTAGTCCTCTCGGGCATTGTCCGCCAACATCAGGGCAACCAACCAGAAGAGCGAGGCATCAAGGGACATGAACGCGCCGCCGCCGAGGAGCCCAGTCTTGGCAGTAGGGCACTCCGTGTTAAGATTGCGGTGGACGTTGTGTAAGATGTGGAGTTGCTCTGTGAGTGTAGGCCATAGCAGGAGCGCGGCAGCTAGTCCCGCTGTGAACCTGCGTAGTACCACCATAACAGACAAAACAACATTAGAAGAGAGGAAAAGGGCTAATGTAATACCATCTTAATCAAATTTAATCTCGTCAACATGAAAAATGTAGCAATTTCAAGTAAGATTACTTGATCAAATCCACCAAATTTAGAAATACATAAGTTAAGCTTCCAACTAATTACTGGGTTATAAGGTGGTATGCCACAAAGCACATCTAATTGAGAAGTGAAATGGTGCAGAAGAAGCTGTTATGCACTTATGCTATCTGCAGTCTAAAGTCTTAACGAGCCGAAATATGTAAGAAACTTTATCCTTTTAAGTGGCTTGATGATTGATTTTCATTTGCAAGTATTCCAATTTTCTTGACAAGGAATATATGGCCGCCCGCTTAATCGTGTAGAGTTTAGAATTCGTTGGTTATGAAGGGAAGTTAACATTATTAAGAAAGAGAATGTGCTTAATTTAAGATGTATAAACTAACTGAACCCTATTAGTGCCTCATTTTAGCATGGAAAAGAACCTCTATAAGACCTATTGAAACTCAAAAATATCAAAAGATACGCTTGAGTTGCTTGCAGATTAAAAATAAAAAATAAAAAATCGCATACTTATGAAAAAGAGGAAAGCATACTTACAAAGCGATGTTGAAGAAAACAACAAAACTACCGCTCCTGAACAAAGCAGATTGTGGAACGGACTTTCCTTTGTAGGGATAAAACAATGAAAACAGCCCAGCCACTGTCGATACTAGGAGAAATGCAAAAGACAGATACCCCAAAGCAACTGTTGGATCAGAATGATATTTGCAGATTACTACATCTTTTCCTGTGACTGGGGTTCCAGCTGCTGGCTGTAAGATGTTGAAGCAAAGAATTTTTAGACAGTAGACAAGAATATGAAAATATAAAAATAGAATCGATGTGGTTTTCAAAACTGAACAAACTATAAACAAGTTTTCGATTAGAATTAAGAGCTATTCTGGCTTTATTGCTTGTGTTGTTCAAGGTATATTTCAACAAAATTATTTATACATTATCCAACTGTCCATGAAATCAAAATAGGATATGATTAGCATGATATATAGTTTTTTTTTTTAATTTTCTGAAGGAATGTGTTTACACAAACAACTGGACTTTCCAATAAACATCTCAAGAGGTCATCAAGTCTGAAAATTCCGCCCCCCCCCCCCAAAAAAAAAAAAAAAAAGAAAGTGAACTATTGGATGACAATTCAATTAGATTTCTCCACCAACAAGGAATTGATGAGTTCCATAAATTTTCAATTAGCAGAACAGGCACCAAATTTCAGCCAAATTCTAACAACTTTATGGCAAAAAATATCCAAATACGAATCAGATTTATGAGGAAGGGGAAGCAAAATAACAAAGTTCAGATAGTGAAAACTAGAATTACCTTTTTATTTTCCGCAATAACTCCCAGTATGAAGGATAAGATACCAAAAAGGGCAACTATTAATGCCATCTTCTTCACCGTAACAGCCATTTTCCCTGCTCAAAATTGAAGCAAAATATCATACAAAGAGTCCCAGAAAAATATCTATCGCAGAAAGAGGAGAAATTCATATTAAACTACTGTACATATTCTTAGCAAATAATAATAATAATAAAATGAAAGTACTGTGTAGATTGCAGAGATCAAGGATTCCTATTGAAGAAAAACAAAGCGGTTTTGCACTGAATTCCAGAATCGAACATAGAAACATAAAATAACAAATTCAACTTTATCAGAATCAAACCTAATTAATTACAACTTTTTTTTATAAAAAAATTGTGGATCTACTCAGTTAATTCCCACAGAATTGGGGGGGGGGGAAGAATCAGGTTCTCTAAGCCAACAAACAATATAACATCATTACATGACGATCATACACCTTCCGAGAAGAAAAAATGCATAGATTTCACGAAAACATGTTTGATTATACAAATTGACCAACAAAACCAAACAATAACGAAAATTCGCGAAAAAATTTACAATTTCCTCAAATATGGTTTCATTTTCCATTGAATCAACGAAAAAAAAAAAGAAAGAAAGCAAAGAGAAGAGCATGATTCGAACCTCTCTCTTCGATTCACAAAGCTCCGTCCGGCAGAGAGAAAGAGAGAGAGAGAGAGAGAGAGAGAGAGAGAACGGACAAGAGACTGCGCAGAGAAAGTAGATAAATGGCGAGGCTTCAAGATTCATGATTAAATAGTTAGTCAACCTTGTGAATCTCTCCTGAATTTCCGAATGGAATCTTTTTCCTTTTTCCTTTTTTTTTATTTTTTGATTTACTCCTATGTACATTTAATTTTTTGATTTTCTTTTTTTGCATGGGTACCCTAAGTTTTTTGCTGATGGAAAATCAATCCCTAAACTTAAAATCTTGACAAGTGGCCCTTTAATTAGTTCTATTGGTGATTGGCGGTCCAATTGAAAAATATTTTGAGTCCGTTTAGTTCATAAATTAGAACCGTGTGATTAGAATCATTTTCGATTTACGTATATTTTTTGTGAGAGAAAATACTATAACAAACCACGAATCATGATTCAAATCAGGGAACTAATCTATTTACCAAACAGGCTCTGTTTTTTTACCGTTCTTATATTATAAGGAGCGCATTTTGGTCATTTTCCTTCAATTGTGAAATAAAAATAACAAAAAAGTGATAAAATTAAAACATAAACGAAAAACCTATCCCCCGCCCACTGTCGTTTACTCTTTCTCCCCTTCAACTACGCCGTATGATATGTAGTGCAAAAGTGAAGTACAGTCTCAGGGCTCTCAAGCTTCTGCACACAATAACCCTCATAACGTCGTCGAGCCTCCTCCATGCGCTGATGAGCACGCATTCTTTGGCGAACTTCACTTGTTGATCCCCAACAACAATGAGATCATGGTCGTCCAGGGGCCTACAAAGGTTACCACGGCACCACCACAAGCGCGCGGTACACGTCAAAAGGTCTTCTCAAATTTTGATATAGATTATAAGTTGTAACGTTTAGTTTATGGGTTCATAATTATAATTTATAATTCTATTTTTAAAAATTTAAATTTTTTGTGAGAGAAAAACATTATAACGAACCATGAATTTTGATCTAAAATCAATCCAAAACCCTCAAAACAAACTAACCATTAATTGCAAGGCTACACCATCGGCTTTGTAGCAACCCCCTCCCCGGCCAGATATCCACGATGCAGCGCCTCTCTACTTCACTAGATCTTGACGTCATGGTTATCGCCAGATCTCAACGTCGTAGCCCCTTCCCCCTTTAGGCCAGTTTTAATATTATTATGCTGTTAAAAATTTTTGTTGTTGTTGAATATTGTGTTATTAATCAAAATTTGTTCGCCAAAACCTTGTAGTGTTTACTAAATTTATTTCCAAAACTGCTATCAGAAGTAAAATTTCAAGTGTTTGGTAAATTACTTATAAAATTATTGTGGAGATGTATAATGAATTAAAAGTAAATACTTTAGCACAAATATTTGTTCTTAGTTTCATTTATATTTTTAATGTCAGTATTCATAATATTTTTACACCAAAATACTAAAAAAACTTTTAATTTATTATCAAAAATATTTCTAAAAAGTAAAATACTAAGGTCATGTTCATTTCACCGATTCGAGTTTTGTTACAGTAAAAAGCTCTCAAAAACAGTCACATTTAACTTTTTTACTACAATAAGAAGTTTTCACACAAAGTCACATCTCAACTCAAATCAACGAACTAAACGGGCCCTAAATTTCTAATTAATGTTGTTATTTTTAAACATTTGATAATTGTCAATAACATTTGAGCAAAACTTAACAATGTATATTTATTAGATATTTTCTATTTTTAAATAAATATTTAAAAATTATATATTTTTAATTTTGTATAAAAATAAAATGGGTAAGATAAAAAATAAAGTTATATTATTATAGTTATTTCATAAATTTAGATAATGACAATAAAAATAATTGTAAAAAAAAATTACAAACGCGTTTTTTTAAATCTATTTATTGACAATAATTTTTAAAAGCTGTTAAATAAAAACAGAATTTTCTAAACACCTTGATCTGATGAGCTTTTTTAAAAGAAAGGAGTTAAAAACAGTATTTTGAAAATAATCCCAAACGGGCACTCCAAATCCAATATAGCTGTTGACGGGCCCACTCCATGCCCCTCCACAAAGACATTACACCATAGGGAATTAAGAAGGATGAACAATGACAAAAAAACAATCCAAATTCATGCATTTAATTATTTTTGTCCTTTTTTTTAGAAAAAAAAAAGTTTTGTTATTTTGGTGAAAATGACAACTGTGACAACTAGTATTACATTTTGTTTTTTACAAAAACACAAAATACTTGTTTTTGTATAATCTGATATTTACAATATATAATCTGGCATTTACAAGTACACGTGTTCCTAGTATTTTTTATGAAGTGTGTAGTTTTTAGGAAAATAATTTTAGAAACAAATTTTACTAGTAGTTTGGTATGAGAATTCGTGTCATGGTTCGAATCATGATTCGTGACTCGTCACAGTATTTTTTCTCATAAAAACACACGTAAACCGAGAATAATTATAAATCATGATTTTGAATCTATTAATCAAAACGTCCACTTTGTCGAATCTATAAACTAAAAAGGGGCATGTATAAGACTTGTGAAATATTAATTATAAATATCTTTTATACATGCAAGGATGAGTTTCAAAAATAAAAAAATGAAAAAATATATACTACGGTGAAATTGTTCACATCATCTGATTATAAATATACGGGCCAAAATGATTAGTTCCGTAGAGGAAAAAAAAAAAGAAGGAGACTACGACTTCGTTCGTTTCGCTGATTCGAGTTTAGAATTCGAGTTGAGATGTGATTTTATGTCAGAGCTTTTTACTGTAGCAAAAAAGTTAGATGTGACTGTTTATGAGAGTTTTTTACTGTAATAAAACTCAAATTCTAAACTCGAATCAGCGAAACGAACGAGGTGTACAACACCTCATTTGACTAAAAAAAGTATCTTTTCTATGCATGATAGCTACCCTGATGGAGTTTCGGCGTTGGGTTTTGACACCATCTATACTATCAGATTGCTCTCAATGAGCTGAGTTTGTTGACGTGTCATGCGACCGCCACTTTGATTGAAAATTGCGGCAATCAATGACGAATGTTTCGGAGAGTAATAAAACTTTCAATATTAATATCTCCGTTGTTCGACTTTTGATCGACGTGATTCCCGTTTTTATAGACCTAAAGCAATGAGACAAAGAAAATCCATCTATTTTTCTCGTACGATTTCCACTAGAGTGCCACCGTCTGAGGTGGCCAAAGTTGCCACCACCGCCGTCGTTGGAGTTCGCATTTCCGGTAGCAGTGAGGGTCATCATTGGCCCACTTCGACTCAGAAGGTGACGAGGAACCTACCCCGACCAGTAATTTTACTGGCAAGAGCGGCATCTTAAATTCTCAAACAAAATTCGTGGTGGGCAAAGTTTCTTTCGAATAACACCAATTATTGAAGTTAAAACTTATGCAAATTTAGTTATTTGATTAATCAAGTTCACTCATTATTTGTAACGTCCCTTATAGACGTCACAAAATTTGTTACTTACATCATTAACTTAAATAAATTTTATGGAAATAGAAAGATAAATTCAAACACATATCCCAGGAAAACATGTGATTTGTTTTTCCTTATGACCTATATATAACGCCCCCTCGGCAGGATGTCACATAATCGAAAAAGAATACAAGATCTTCACAGTCATTAGTCATTATCGAAAAATAACACAAAATATTCTCAGTCATTCTGCTCAAAATATTATATCTTCATCGCCATTTAACCAAGAGAAGTAAACGAACGTTCAATGATTTGCTCAATTAGTTTGTTTCTTTTTCTTTTTCTGGTTTCAATTCTCATTTGGGTTACTTTTGATCTTGTTTGATGATGCGGTGTTTATTAGGGATGATTCTCCGGCAGTGAAGTGTTTTAGAGCTCGTTTGTATTATGCGTTTAACTAATGATTTTGATTATGTTATAATATTTTTCTCTCGTAAAATATTTAAATTTCAAATGTCAAAATTAAAAATTATTAGTGTAAATACATGAACCAAACAGGCTTTTAATCCACCGCTGGAGAAAGGAAAAAAGAATCATAATATTTTTTTAATAGATTATAATTTAGTGGGAGAGAGAACATGCAGACCCACAGTGGAATTTAATAATAACCTTTGAATTGACCCCACTCACATGGTGATTTAGCTCATGCCTTATTTATTTTATGACTCAAGTTATATTATTACAATATTTTTTTTAATAAAAATTTAATTTTAATTTTTTTTTATAATATTTTACTCTCACATACACAATTAAAATTATGATTTGAATTATGTAAATGAACATAACCTACAAATTTTATAAAAATTATTTACGAATACTATAATCTCAATATTTTCATTAGTGTCAACAATTCCTGTAAGATACTTTTCTATGGGTTTTGCTTTGGCAGTGAAAACATTAGACAATGGGACCCAACCAGTTAGTACATATCCAGTTTTTTTTGCTTGAAAGTCTTCTCTGTACCAAAAGTCGTATCCTATTACTGCCCTTTTCCACGAATGATGCCAAAGTTGAATTCAACCATTCACACATATACTTTCATTAATTCTATTTAAATTGTATCCACACAAAAAAAAAATTCTATTTAAATTGAAAAAATTATTTATTTTTTATTTTACATTGAAAGAAATACTTTCATTATTTTTACTAATTAGAAAAAAGAAATCACAACTCAAACCTCGAAAAAGAACTTTTGGAAAGCCTTTTCACACAAAAGCATTTATCGTAATTTTTAGCCAAAAAAAAAAACAATCTTAATTGTAATAAAACAAATTTGTAATCAAAAGACAAACAAACAAATTCAAGCAAAAAACAAACTAACGAACAAAAATTAAAACCAATGCGAAAATGACGAACTTGTAATAATATATAGTGATACTTTGATAGTTTTAATGCTAGGTGAAGTGGGGGCTAAATAACGATCTTTTTTTTTTTTTTTAATTATTGAATAATAACGAAGTTGTTGTCGTTCGATAGAATCGAGGCATTGAGTTTGACCTTATTCATTTAGGCGCATTTAGGATCTTCGTGGACTAGTTTTTTTTTTTTAATTTTTGTTTCAACATTTTAAATAGGGTAAAAAGAAAAACCTATAAGAAGAGTGAGAAGAGTAAGAGGATTAGTACAAGAAATTTTGATTCAAAACCAGAGGAAATAGAATGAGATAAAGATTTCAAATTCATCATAATGTCTCGATTTTAATCTCTAAATATGAAAAGAAAATCAACGAATAAAATGTATATAAAAGACAATTAAGAAAAGAGATAATTACGTGGCATGTCAAAATTGTATACATTGAGTTGAAATTTAGTAAAAATTTTTAGTGTAAATTGCACTATTACACCTTAAATTATTCATTTTTTTACATAATATACTCTAAACTTTTAATTTTGACAAACTACATCTTAAACATTAGAACAGTTGCAATTGAGGTCCACTGTGAAAGGCAAAGATCGTCATTTTTCTAACTATATTACGTACAAATCTTATGTCTTGAACTGCCAATTTGATAATGTAATTTGCTATTGGACTTAAATTGCAACTGATTTTAGATTGTAGGTGCAATTTGTCAAAATTGATACTTCGGAGTGCATTATAAAATCCAAATAGTTTGAGGACTACAGTGCAATTTACTCAATTTTTTTTTTTTAAAACAAACATTATTAACTGCTCTTCGGGATTAGCCAATTAGGCAAGAAAATTAGGGCTGGGGTTTGGGAATTATCGCTTTCCTTCTTCCCTCTGATTCTGCGATCAAAAGAGGGCTGGGGTTTATAATTATTAATTATCCATCAATTTGTTTTCCGATCTTCCTCTTCTGCGGTCAAAAGATTACAAAGAAGACGACGAAGAAGCAGTTCTCGAGAGATTCGGAGTAGCAGAGAAGAGTTTGATTTGGGAGAAAAATGGGGGAGAGAAAGGTGTTGAACAAGTACTACCCGCCGGACTTCGACCCTTCGAAGCTTCCAAGGGTTCGGAGGCCGAAGAACCAGCAGATTAAGGTCCGAATGATGCTTCCCATGAGCATCCGCTGCAACACCTGTGGCAATTACATCTACAAGGGCACCAAGTTCAATTCTCGCAAGGAAGACGTCATTGGCGAGGTTAGGATTTTTTTTTCTTCTTTCTTTCTTTTGTGTGAAAACTTGCGCCTTTTGTTTGGATTCTTGTTTTCTCTCGTTGAGACATTGATGCGTAATGTGAATTGATGGGAAAATGGAATTAAATAATTTGATTTGATGGGATAGTTTGAATTTTGAAGCAAATCGGAATATTAGTTCTTATGGAAGTGGAGTTGGAGGAAGTGTTAGCTCTGATATTTTGCCTGGATTTCTATTTCATTTGTTTTTATATTTGTAGATGTTTATTGTTTTTGACATCTTTATTTGGGCATGGTGATACCTGAAAGTATTTCCTTTTGGAATGGAATAATGGGCTGTAAATAGTTCCTTTTTTTCTGCGATGAAAATTTTAGATGATGCTGGCTTTGAATCTGGTTTATTGTTCTTTTTTTTATTATTATTTTCTAGATGTTTATATTTTTTGGCATATTTCTTTGGGCATATACCTGAAAGCATTTCCTTTTTGCGTGGAATAGTGGGCTGTAAATAGTTATTTTCTTTCTGAAAGTGAAACTTTGGAGAATGCCAGGCTCAACATTTTTCCTGAATTTTTATGATTTTGTAGGCGTTTATTTTTGGTGTATTTCTTTGTAAGTGATGATGCCCAGTGAGAAGTTACTAACTTCTGTAATTTTGCAGACTTATTTGGGTATCCAAATATTTAGGTTCTACTTTAAGTGCACGAAATGCTCAGCGGAGCTTGCAATGAAGACGGACCCGCAAAATTCTGATTACGTTGTTGAGTCGGGTGCAACACGGAATTTTGAACCTTGGCGTAATGAGGATGAGGTATAATTCTTTCCATTCTGTAGAGGCGACTATATTTTTAAAGCTTTTTTCGTTTTTTTAGAAGCTGCTAATGGAGATGGTTTTGTTTTTTTGAGTTTGGTAATGAATAAATTTCCCTTTTTCAGGAAGTAGATAAGGAGAAACGGAAAAGGGAAGAAGAAGAGATGGGGGACGCAATGAGATCTTTGGAGAACAGAACCTTGGATTCTAAAAGAGAGATGGACATCTTGGCGGCTTTAGATGAGATGAAATCCATGAAGGTACGTGCAATCCTTATGTCTTATGTACTGAGGCTTTTGGATTTGATGGTTTCAGTTATAAAGGCTTTCAAAAGTTTAGAATGCGTTATAAAATTGCATTATAAACATGGTGCATATATGATCTTGACATTGATTCCTTTTTTACGAACCTAAGTCATGGTCCATTCTTTGTTCATCTACACCGATGTTTGTTTCATAGGTATATCCTTGACCTTTTTTTTTTTTTTGCCAGTCGAGACATGCAGCTGTTAGTGTTGATGCAATGCTAGAGGCCTTGGAGCGCTCTACTGCTCAAAAGGTACGATGGATTTTCTTGTGATACAGTAGTGGTAATTTTGTTACGTGCATTGACTTTTGTATTCAATTTGCTTTGGTATGTATTAACTCTGAGGTGCTGGTTAATATGATGGCAGGAGAAGAAATTGGAGGAGGAGGACGAAGCCCTAATAAGATCAATCGTTTTCCATGTCAGTATTTATCTCGGTTTTATGTTTTTTTGTCCAAGTTCTTTCTTCTTTCTTTTTTTGTTTTCTCTCCCTTGTGTGGTGAGCTTGTTTTCTAATGTGTGTGTGTGTGTGTATATATATATATATATATATATATCGAAGCCCTAATAAGATCAATCGTTTTCCACGTTAGTATTTATCTCGGTTTTGTGTTTTTTTGTCCAAGTTCTTTCTTCTTTCTTTTTTTGTTTTCTCTCCCTTGTGTGGTGAGCTTGTTTTATAATGTGTGTGTGTGTTTTTTTTTTTGGGTTCTTATGCAGAGTTCAAAAGATTATGTCCATCGGATTGATGATGAAGATCTCAATGATGATGGTGATCTGATACATCTTCCAAGTAGCAATGGTGAAACTTCCAGTAGCAGTCTGAAGGTATTACAGTGCTTTTTACTGGTTACAGATTTCCTTTCTAACCATATTGCCCAACACAAACACTGTACAGCAATGTTCCAAATCTTCTTTTCCCTGCTGAAATCGGGGAGATATGGGGATACAAACATGTCAACACATTTCGAAGGGGCAACCCAACTCAACAGAAACACTAGTTTAACCCTCATCCGTACTTGAAGCAAAACAAGATGAACCAAGTTAAAGGGGTTAAAACTTCTATATTTGAAATATTCAACCTGTATAGCAGGAAGAGTTGTAGTTATCTATGTTTTATTCGGAAAAGACTGAATTTACTTATGTTTGTCCACACATTTGAAATGCAGAAGCAAAAGGTTTCCCCAGAACCTCCTAGTAACCCAACCGATTTCTTGACAAGCACCAGTACTTCTGATAGCTCCATCAATAAAGGTAGGATTTCTGTTTCCCCCTTATTTGTTGATGTATTGCAAGGGCATCCTTTTACAAGTTTGGGAAGTAAAATTTCTTCTTTTAGTAATGAAAATTGTTCTCGTGGAAGCATAAAAGCCGCTATTTTTTTTTAATTTTTTTTATTTAAGTAGGAAAGCTGCTACAATCTGAAATTATAGTTGTCTTTCTTCCCCTTTGATAAGCTATTGTAGTTGCCTCTTGTGTGTTGGTCTCTGCAAATAGACCGTGTTCTTTCCCCTTTCATAAACCTAGAACATTTTGTAGAGATTGTTGGGTAGTTTTTTGTTTTGGTTATTTTCAGGAAAGCCAAGCGATTCTGGAGCTCAAAATAAATCCGTTTTGAAGACTTCAACAGGCATGGTTTCTGTTATTATGAAACCAATTGCAGCTTCCAATTCTAACAAAACAGGAAAACTAGACGATAATAATATTCAAAACAGCCACAGCGATAAAAGTCTTGCAAAAGCGGAGGAGAAAAGGGAGGATAGTATCAATAGTAGAAGTAACGTACTCCAGTCGTTGTGCCAAAACTATGACGACAGTGATGATGACGAAGAATAAGGGTCATCTCGGATTATTTTCCCCTTTTTCCTGCAAGATGTTTTCCATTTCCATGCAAATGGAGATAATTTCCTGAGTTTTCGTTCTTGGTTATCTTGGCTTATCATCACATTTTTGTAAGAATCTGGTCTTAAACTACCATATCAGGCGGTTAATTTGTTTGGACAAAACTTGCACTTCATGACTTGTGTATCTGTACAGATAACATGTGTACAAAGTCGTCGTTTCTTTTTTGGCAGTCCAATGCTTCATGACGCATGAACTTTGATGATCTGCATAATTTCATAGATTCCTAATTCCTAACTAGTTTCTTTTCTGAAGAAATTTGAAAAAAAAAAAAAGTTATTTTTCTCATTCTTTAAAGCAGCTAAATCATGAAAATTCTTACAAAGAAATCAGTGTTTTGGTTCCGTATTAAGCGTATGTGATTCTTTTTTGTTTTAATTAATCACGTGATTTGACTTTGTGAGCTTTCCTGCAATGAACGCTATAAAGAAATCCAGTCTTTTCGTAAAAAAGACAAAAGGCAACCCGTGGGGGAATTGAACCCGACGTGAATCGAACACGCAACCTTCTGATCTGGAGTCAGACGCGCTACCATTGCGCCACGGATCCGGTTGTAAAGTTGTTTGGCAGAAAAAAATAAATGAACTTTAACTTCTTTGATCTGCTCATTTCCTAATTTGTTCTTTTTTCCCCACCAATTCCTAAAGCCAATTTATGTTTTTTTAACAAACTAATTTACGTTAGTTTTTTCTTAGCAGTTTTTCAGTTAAAACAATAAATTTTGGGAGGATTTCAAGCAAAGAAAAAAAAATAAATTTTGGGAGGAAAAAAAAAAACGGTTGACTCTCTCTCCTCATTTTTGTGCAACTCAAGTGTGTGTATCAACTTATGCAATTAAGTAAATGGTGGAAATTGATGGGAAAAAAAAAAGATTCCACTTATCAATAATTATGAGTGATTATTATATGACTATTTGTGACTGCAGCTTACGATTCCCAGATTCAAATACGTATTTATTCCTGCCATATTTTAAGCGGGTATTTTTTTAGTAATCTTAATAAATACTTTTTAAAAATGTATGTGTCAAAATTTTTATATTTTATTTTTTATTCATAACTTTTTTAGTTAAATAATTACACTAATAAAAGAGTATTTATTAAAATTAAAAAATAAAAGTTTAAACTTACGTACTCTTAAGAATAAACTCAACATTTTTTTTTTTTTACTTTTTAATCACACCATTAAAGCTTTTGGCCATGCCATTATATGATGTACGTATGGACCATCATCCTCTATTCAAAGCTCTTATGTTTTGGTGCTTATGTCGTTAGGTTTTGGAATGCTTTTTTATTGGATAATCTTAACAAATATTCTTTAAAAGTACATGAGTCATGATTTTTATCATTTATTTTTTATTCATAACCTTTTTAATTAAATGTTTACACTAATAAAAGGATATTTATTAAAAGTAAAAAATAAATATTCAAATTCATACACTCTCAATAATAAATTCTCAATGTTTTTCTCTTTCTTCATTTAACAAAAACAAAAATGTCATTGTGCTTGTGTAACTGTGCCGAAAAACACGGTTCATCAAATCCATGAATGCAGCAGGGGCATTTGTCAACCCAAATGGCATCACCAGGAACTCGAAGTGTCCATATCGAGTCCGAAAAGCAGTCTTCGGAATATCCTCTTCCCTGATTTTCAATTGGTGGTACCCGGACCTCAAGTCAATCTTAGAGTAAAACTGTGATCCACCCAACTGATCGAATAACTCATCGATCCTCGGCAATGGATATTTATTCTTCACAGTTACCCTGTTCAATTGACGGTAGTCAATGCATAACCGTAGAGATCCGTCGTGTGTCACAGGCCACGGCTTTGACACTAGCCTATTTATTTCGCATATTTGAACCATAATTCAATTTTTTTTAATTTACTTTTAACAAAAGTCCAAGTTTTGAACCAAATGAAAATAGGCCACGTTGGTGGGCTAAAATGAAAAGAAAAAAAGATAGATGAGGGCCAAAGCAAAATATACCAAAACTAGCAAAAACGAAAAAGCAAAAAATACCAAGCAACAACGAGCCACCTAGAATGTATTATTAATTTTTCTTCATAATGATTGGTTAAGAATATTTTTAACCGGTCCTAATTTCACATATTTTATTCTGAAAAAAAAAAAATCTAGTTTGACTTCTATTTGCCAAGGGGAAGGAAGAAAGATACCAAGTAGCCTAGCGGCTAGAGCAATTGGCAAAATACAATTTAGAGAGTAGTGTTACAAACAATTACAGAAGTTAAATTAAGACTAAAATCATAGTTGTTAAGGAAAAAAAAAAGGGTCAGTTTTTTTAGGACAAAAATAAATCACAGTTGTTATTAGCTCATATGGAATATTATACTTATCGCACCTACAAATGACTGAGATTTGACGAAATGGGTTGTCTCCACGTGTGCAGAAAAAAAAAATCAATGCTTGGAAATACAGTCATAAGAAAATATTTAAAAATAGTAAATATTTACCCTTAAATAAAACAATAGAAAATTTTTATAAACAACAACTTAAAAAAAGGGACTGACAGCCAATCCCCAGCGTCATGTATCCATTTTAGGAAAATTGTAATAGCAGTTTGAATCTTTCCAACCAACATGTCCAAATTCTTTTTGCCATTAAAACCTATAAATTATTACCACTTTTTTTTTTTGTTAATACTGTAAATTATTACTAATTACCACTTCTTTCTCTATTATATTTATAATCACCGAGCTCTTTGTAATTTTGCAGTGTCATCTGCAGATTTACAAGGTATCAATTATTTTTCAAATTTCTTGTCCTCTCTCAATTTGTTTTAATTCCTTTGTAGTTTTTTTTTTTTTTTTTTTTTTTTTTTTTTTTTTTTTTTTTTTTTTACTTGTTATGTTATGTTACGGGCATTGTTCTTTCTGAATCCTTTTTTTAGCATCCCAAATTGCATTGCTTTTTAACCTGAATTTTTGTTTCATTATCCTTTTTTGACCATCTCAAATTACATTGCTTTTTAACCTGAATTTTTGTTTCATTTCTTTCTCTTTTATTATCTATAATTTATGTTTTTTTTTTGTTTTTTTGTTTTTTTGCCTATCATAATATATACGTCAATTGAATTGCAGGGGTTGAGATTGATAGCTTTTTATTCCAAGCACCATGGCCTTCACCGCGATACAAATGGCTCTCTTTGTTACCATCCTCGGTTTTATATCATTCGTTTTTGGAATTCTCGCTGAAAATAAGAAGGTATATAAAAGGATATTCTGCGATAAACCACGATGATAAAACGCATAATCACATTAGAATTATCAATCATATCATATCATGATCTGATTGTTCATAATTGTATTCTAATAATTCTCTAAGAAAATATGAGTCTGCAAGCGAAAATGTACCAATTGTCACATTCTTTTTTTTTTTTATTCTAAATGGTTTAATATAGAATGATTTTAAATCACTAATAATGGTTATTTCTTTGTCTATTTGTTCCTTTTTTTTTTTTGGGTTTCTTACAGCTTCAATCAGGAACCCCAATTGAAGGAAAAGATGTAGTTATATGTAGTTATCCTTCAAATCCTTTTGTGGCTTTGGGATATCTGTCCTTTGCCTTTCTTATTGCCTCAACCGTGGTTGGTTATCTTTCATTGTTTTACCCTTACAAAGGAAAGTCAATTCCACAATCAATCCTCTTCAAGAACACATCATTTCTTGTATTCTTCAACATTGCTCTGTAAGTACATTTCCTGCTATTCCTGTTTTTTCCTTCTTTTATTCCCTTTTATTAAGAAATTGTTTTTGAAAACAATTTTTCTAAAAAAAAAAAAAAGGGAGAAGTCAATTAGCCGATAATAATAGTAATTGTTGGAGTTATTAGAACCAATGTATTACAATCAACTAATCAAGGGATTAAGAATTTGCTTTTGGTTAGATTATCTCACAAATATGTTGCACTAGAAAATATCTTTTAAAATCATTTTTTTTTCAATAAAATACTGTAAAAATGATGGGTATGGAATCCAACCACTTTTTACAATGCTTTAAGAAGCTTATTAGATGTTCTCAAATAAAAAAATAAAAATTCTATAAGAAGCACAGCAATATAAAACGGGTCCTACATCGATTTCAGGGTTTGTTTGATGACCTAGGCTTTAATGTCCAGGCCATAGTTAGCCAATCTATTTTCTTAAAGATCAAAAACTATATATTTATTTTTATATAGGTACATTTTACAAAGACAGACCTTGGAATTGCATGATTGCATCTATAGCTAAGCTTGTGACTATAGCATTAGGAGCCAAAAATTTGCTTATTACTAATTGAAGCTCGTGTTGGTGAAGATCATTGCTTTTTTACCCCTAATCGTAAGAGCCGGAATAGCAATTTTTGTGAGAGAGCATTGGCACACACGGCAAATGTCACAGTTCGTATGATCCATCCACTCTCACAGTTCGTATGACGAGTTGTAATACAAATCTTTATTCGATTGTGAATCGTATAATAATTTTTGTTTTTGTCACTCTAGGTTCACAGCTGGGTTAGGGGCAGCACTAACACTGTGGCCAACATTTGATGAGCAACATCACCAGAAGAACAAAGTTTATCCCAGTTCCACCTCAGAGTGCCCCACTGCAAAGACAGGTCTTTTGGGTGGTGCTGCTTTTGTGTCCCTTGATTCCTCACTCTTCTGGCTTGTTGCCCTCATGCTTGCAAGCAATGTGAGAGATGACTATTTTGGTGACACAGAAAATGAGTATGACCCACATGTGAGCCAAGGCAGCCAGGTCACAACAGCTCCCTAGCACATATGGGTCCCTCATGGTTGTGATGTGGTCTTGATTTGTCCTTAATATAAGATGACTCTCTGTTAAGATTGTCACCACATTTTATTTGGCTTAGATTTTAATATGGTTGGTAAATAGTTTGGAATTAGAAAGCTTTTAATGGGATTTGATGTGAATTATTTTTTAATGTTTATTATTAGTAGTAAATTTATATAGACCTCTCTCTTATATTTTTTTTTTTATATAAGAACTTTTTATGATATGGCATCTATTTTGATAATGCATGCATGTTTATGAATGTATCGATTAAAATCACGTTAAAATAAAAAAAAATATGCAAAACTGAGAGAGCATGATATAAAATTTTCAAATAGAACCTTATTAATGCCTCAATTCCGTTTAGTATAAAAAAAAATTACAACCTTGTATTTTTTTTGTACAGTCCAGTTCACATTTTACATATGATTTGCAGTTATGTTCTAATTGTTTCTTTACCTATGGTAAAAACTTAAGAAGTAAAAGTGCTCCCAATAAAATCATGTAACAAAAGTTTTGGTTAAAAATGGTTTGTGCTGGTTTAGGAGTTCTTAGCTGGGATATTAATTATAAATTTGTAATTGAAGGAAATAAATAGAATGAGAGAAAAGAGAAATTGCCTAGGCCACCTAATTTATCACCTATATTTGTGATGATTTGTGCGGCAAGGCAACCTCAGAGTCAAGGTTTGCCTTATAAAATTGGGTTTTGGATTTCAAAAAAAAAAAAAAAAAAAAAAAAAAAAAGGCCCCTTTTTAGCCACAATAACTTGAGCAGAACATCTTATACCTGATTTAGAAGGCAAGAAATCTTTTCAGCATTGAAGGAAAGTGTCGCCCAGGGCTGGTTGTGTGGGAAGATGCTGCAAGTTGGCTTGAGAAATTTCAGGCTTCTAAGCGTCTTCGGAGCTTGGATGTGCCTCGCCCTTTGCCGGTAAGGCACAAATTTCAGGCTTTGTGCTTGGGGCCTTTACGTGGGATGTTTGTTTCCTATATTCGTCATTGATTCTGAATCATGATTTATAGTTCTCTACAATGTTTTTCTCTCATAAAAAACACACGTAAAATGAAAATAGTTCTAAATCTATGAACCAAACGTCCACATCTTGGCTGCGGAATGTTTAGCACTACGAGAAGGGCTTCTTTTTGCAATGGACAGCGGCCTCCGCATTTCTCTGGTTGAAAGTGACTCCTCTTCAGTGGTTAAACATGTTGACGATCTAGCTTTTCTAACGGCAGAAAATAGCCTATTTTGGCAGACACTAAGCGTGCGTTTGTAATTAGTTTTAAAATGATTTTGTTTTCAATAACAAATAAAAATGAGATTGTTTTAAGAATTATTCTGAGTCTAATTCTGAAATTGCGTTTAGTTAATTTTTTAAGAGATTATTTTGAGTATAATAAAAAAGTGAAATCATGTTTATTAATTAATATATTATAATATTATTGATAAATACTAAAAAATAAAAATAAAAAAATAAAAACGACTTTTAACCGTTTTCTAATTTTTTCACAAAAATCATTCTCACTGTTTGCATTTTTATTTTTATTTTTAAAACATTTACTAAATAAAAATCGTTTCATTTTTATTTTTATTTTTTAAAATACGTAAAAATAGTTTTAAAAAACGATTTCAAACCTGCACTAAACTTCTGCTGTCGGAAGTTGGTAGTGGTTCTTGCAACTATGTTCCACGAATGTGTAATATGCCTGCCCACGCACTCATACGCTTCGCTCTTTACTTTCCTTAGATGATTGTTATTGGCTTGAGGAATATCCTTTTTGTATTACAAACATTGTAATAAGTGCCAATATGGCCTTCAAGTAATTATATATTATCATGCCAGTTTTCAAAAAAAAAAAAAAAAAGAAAAGAAAAACTTGAACTGGCAATTGGGTAGCTTGAAAGCAGAAAGGTATTCATTATATATGATAATATATGGTGTAACGCAAATTCTTGATATTCTATTCTATCAGAAAAAAAAGGCAAGTTGTTTATATTTTGAAGTTTGAACTTTCTTAGGAAATAATCCGAAATCATCATCTTCTTCTTCTTTTTTTTTTTTTTTTTTCCAAAAAGATGTGTAAATATCTCGAAAGGGAATTTTCAAATTCTTTCACAAACTCTTAGCATTGGAGTATAATTAGACTTCTTATCAGTTACAGTGCGTTTTTAATCTGATATCACATGGGAATTAAAACACAGGAATTTTCCTTAAAAAAAATAGGAAATTTTGGTAGCACAAAGTTACAGATGGCATACCATTTTGTGCTAAATTTTTTTTTTTGACATATTTGCTTAATTCAAGTTAAAAAAAGGATGAAGAAAAATGAAAAATAAAAGCAAGTATGAGATTTAAGACTTTTTTTTTTTTTTTTTTTTTGAGAATCAACATATTGATACTTCGGGAGACTTTTTGAGAAAATATTGGGGCCCGTAATTCATGTATTTAAATCAGTAATTTTTAATTTTAACATTTAAAATTTAAATTTTTTATGAGCTAAAAATACTATAATAAAATTAAAATTATAAATTTAAACGTAACAAATAAATGAGCATAGTTTAGGTGGGTCCACCCACCTCATGCTCTGCCTTGTCTAATATTCAAAATTATGATATCATTACACTGTATTCACTTTAAAATTTCAACAAATTATTGAGCTGTTATTTTAATTTTGTAAAACACAAATATTGCATGGATAAACTCAGATACTTGATTTTTTTTTTAAGATAATGCTATACTATCAACTGAAAATTATTCAAAAAAAGCACTCGTCTTTGAAATAAAAAAAAATCACCACTCACCACTCATCCATTCCTATCTAATATACTAAATTACTAATATCAAAATTGAAATAATTCGTGGCTTTATATATATGCACAAACACATATATTATCAATTAGTATGATACAAACAAATTCGGCTAATTATATACATAATTAATTACGGTTAGTCCCTTAATAAACTGCTGATAAATTTTTTATTTTTAATTGTTAAATATGTATTAAATATTTTTTTTTTTTTGCATATCTTTTAAGTTAAAGTTATTTAACGCTCAAAACCGTGTAGAAGGACCCACAAACTTATTCACGTGTAATTTTTATATTAAAAAGATAAAAAAATCATATTCACGTGCATTAGGTGGAAATAATTATATATTAGTAACTAAAAACATGAAGTAGGTATAACGATCTGAGTTTGATTCGGAATCTTGAAAGTCTTTATTAAAGAGTCTTTTATTATTAACTCCTTCTGGGCTCCGAACCTTAAAAAAAAAAAGAAAAAAACACTTTTTTTTCTTCAGAATCTCTCTCTTTCTCAAGTCTCACCATCCAGTTCTTCATCAAAGAGAAAGGTTCTGATATAATTCTTTCACAATAATATTTTGCGCAGAAAAAGGATTTTCCGGATCACTTTTTTCTTATTATTTTTATTTTGTTGGTGGTATAGTGTTGAATTCTGTTTTCCGTGCTTTCTTTTTTTTTTTTTTTTTCATTTTTTTTTGTACCATGAAATCATAGACCTTTCGTCTCTTTTTTTATTTTATTTTTTATTTTTTTAATGACCACGTCTTAAAACAAGAATTGAGATGACATTGATTTTGTTACCATATTCTTCTGGAATTCATGCCAAACTCTTTTTTTTTTCCTTTTCTGTTTTAACAAAGATTTAAAATTTATGGATTTTCTTTTTATGAGAAATTTATTTTTTTATGTGTATATATAATATTATTACTTGATGTTTTGCTTGCAGAGACAATGGCTGTTACTGTGAAGAAAATGGCTTTGATAGTGACCTTTTTGGGTGTTTTGTCCTTTGTATTTGGAGTGATAGCTGAGAATAAGAAGGTAATTAATTCTACTTTATACGCTCTATTATTCTTTTTTAAATTTTTTCTCCTCTCTCTCTCTTTTTTTTTTTTTTTTTCCCTTTCAACTCGGGTACTGGGGAGTTCGAACTTTTTGTGGATTTACAGTTACGTTGTGCCCGTAACCACCTCACTTTTTATTTTTCTATTCATATTTGATGGTTATTATTATTATTATTATATTTTTTTTTCCAAAAGTTGTTAAGCTATAGAAATATTCACTAATTAATGTGATTAGTTTTGCTTTAATATGAGTTATTAGAATCGGATTAGTAATCTAGTCCTTTCAGAACAAATACCAAAAATTGTGTGATGTATGAAACTGCTTGTGATCATCCTAATTTGCGTGAATAAATAATATGGTGTTATATGCTTCATCCAATTTTGTCATCCAAGGGTTCACATTCTTTTTTTTTTTTAATTTTGCATCTATAATTTTTCCAAAAAAAAAACACACACACACACACAGAGTTTCATTCTTATGTTTGTTGCACATTTAAGTATTTTGTTCTATCCTCTTGGCAGCCTGCATCCGCGACCCCCGTCGTCGGAAAAAATGTCGTTATCTGCAAATACCAATCCGATATGACGGTCATTTTCGGTTATTTGTCCGTCGGATTTCTTGCTGCGTCTTCATTTATTGGGTTGCTCTCATTGTTTTATCCCTACAAAGGAAAGTGTGTCCCTGGTGGGGCTTTCTTCCGGAGCTCTAACTTTGTTGTGTTCTTCAACATTGCTTTGTAAGCATTATTTCATCTTTATCATATAAATATTTCCTTCATTTCAACTTTTGATTAGTTAACCAGAGGTCCCATTGAGGTTATTTTCCCTTGTAAAAATGAGGCAACAAAAGTGTTGAATTGGTTAATGGATAAGTCATTTAAAATTAGAAGCATTTTCTTCTTAAAAAAAAAAAATGTTATATTTTTCATAGCCAGTGACTTCTAATAAGACCCTGCATGAGAAATCCTCTTTGGTAATAGAAGAGACCATTGAAATTTGATATCAAAAGTGAATGATGCTAACGGGACTCTTAACAATTCAATTGTCAATCTTTTGTTGGTAAACGTTATTAAAAAAAAAAAATCTTGTCAATTAGTATTAAAAAGTTGCGTATATCTATTGAAAGATGACAATTCACCTGTTAGCGAATCTGTATAACAGAATTTAATTTTTTTTTTTTAAAAAAAAAACTTAAACCAATTCAACACACTACACTAATTACATTTGATTTGCGCAATTTCATCTCTTATATTGTTATTATTATTATGGTGGATTTACACAGGTTCACATCGGGACTGGCCGCTGCACTCTTGCTATGGCCTACACTCACGGAGCAATTCCACATCCTACGCAACGTCCACCGCAATCTCAAAACGGAATGCCCTACTGCCAAGACCGGTCTCCTCGGTGGCGGTGCTTTCGTGTCCCTTGACGCGTCGCTCTTCTGGTTGGTCGCCCTTATGTTGGCAGACAATGCCCGAGAGGACTACTTTGAGGAGTTAGAGAATTCTTCCAGGGGTGAATGTGATCAGATCAACAATGGTGAACCTCATGCCAATGCTAGTAGCTCAAAGGAGACTGTCTAGAATTTGACATGACACACAACTTGGATGCCTCTTTTGCTCTACTTTTGCTTTTCATTTATTAAGTTGCTTAGTTATGATTGCATAATTGTAAATAATTTTCTTAGATTTGGTTTAGAGTTGATTTCCTCTTTAGCATCGCTTTAGGTTTGTTGTTTCTTTATAGTTCCGACATACCAGTAGGCATAAGGAACTTTAAATTTAATATAAATTTGAGAAGCTTAGAAGATTGCTAAATGTGATGCTTATTGCTTATAATGGATTGGTGGTTCGTTTAAATGCACGAGTCATCTTTCAAACTCTGTTTTAAATAACAGTAAAGGTCTCTTTTCCTTAAAGTTCTCCAAGTAGTGTATGTTAAGGATGAATTAGAGGAATACTTGAATTTCAAACATACTAATTTATGAAAAATTTAAGCCTAACTTTTGTAATTTAAAATGATACAGATGGATAACTGGATTAAACTGGTGTACAATATAATTAAAATTATTTGTTAATATTATGAATGATGAATAAAAAATTTATAAGCGTTATTGTTCAATCAAATGAGGTTTAACTTAGATATCTCATATGAAGTGAGCCCCACCTGAATCTCAAATTTGTTTTAGAATAAATGCATTGTTGTGTCCTATTTTTTCCCCCCGTGATTTGTATCTTACTTTTCAAACTTTTAATTTTAATAAATTGCATCTTGAATTTTAAAATCAATAACAATTTAGATCCATAGATAACGAATAAGCCGAACTATGTACCGCGCACGTCATTTAGATGGGCTCCAGAAAGTCACATAGGAGGAAATAAAGAAATAAAATAGCTAAAATTGACGATTTAAGATACAAAATTCACACATGAAAGGTTAAGTTCTTCATTTTTTAAATTAGGTCACGTGCGAATGACGTGTCTTAAAGACTTGAATTGTCAATTTGATACCACCAATCAACTATTAGATTTCAATTCCTACTGATTTAAAAGTTCAGATTGTAATTTGTTAAAATTTAAAATTTAAAGAGTGTTACGTAAAAAATGAAAAGTTTAAGGGGCAATATTGCAATTTATTCGTTTTTAATGTTTGTTACTGCGTGACCCAAATCGGACTCTGGGCAAACCCGTAGGCCCGAAAACTTGTCCGAAAGCAAGCCCATCTATTATTTAAAGCCAGCCATCATTTCCGTTCCCACCATCAATCAAACTAAACCTTGCCAAAACCCTAGTCCCCCCTCTCGCACTCTCTCTCTACTTTCTCTCACTGAAAGCAGTAGCTAAGACCGAAGAACAACTCCTCCGAAGAAAATGCCGCTAGGGGAAAGGCCAGGGGACAAGAGCGAGTCCCGCTACTGCGGAATTGAGACAGATTTCAACGATGACATGCCTCAACTTTTGTCCTCCAATCTCTCCTATGGCGGATTCGATTTCGTTGTCGCTCCTTTGGTTCGTCTTCTCGATTCCTTCATTTCTGTAATTTCTCATTTGATCGATATTCTTTTCGTTCAGTTCCAATTGAATGCTAGTTATATATATATATATGTATGTGATTATGTTTTTTTATGGTGGCTAATTAGCCAGTCACATATCAGCTTACGAGCTGTGGTTTCTATGTGAATGGTCAGTAAGCTCACCTACAACAATGCCGTGTGAGTGGTCTTCGGTAGTGAAGCTGCTCCGCTATGTGGCTTCACTCAGAGGCTACTAACTACATTCCTAGGAATTTGTACTCGAAACATTGTTTGCTTTTCTTTTGTTTATAATGAGTGGATTTTCATCTGATTATATCATTAGAGTAGGATGAATGAGAATAGATCCGAAACTTTTGACCGCAGAAGGTTAATGCTTTCAAGTTCGAATGAAGAAACGTTTGATTTGAGCTGTAATATAATGAAATACTCAGAATTTGGAATTGACAGTGTTGTTTGTGCTATGGTGTATGTTTTTTTTACCACCGAAGCTCCTCAAAGTTTTCCTTCCTACAAAACATGCTTTTGACAGATAGTTACCATGTGATCTCTAGGTGTTTTTGTTATGCTAGCTTTCGAGATTCGCTGCTATGTGCTTATGTGGTTTTGTATGTATGCACGTGTGTGGTGAGTTGTGTGTGTGTGTGTGTTGGTGGCCAATTAGCCAGTCACATATCAGTTCAACAGCTGTTGTTTTTATGTGAATGGTCAGTAAGCTCACCTATAGCAATTCTTGTCGGTGGTCTTTGGCAGTGAAGCTACTTAATTCTGTGGCTTTATTAAAGCGCTACTAACTACATTCATCATCATTTTTGTTGGTTTGAGTTTTATGTATTAGAATGTTGGGTATCACAGTTTATCATTAGTGGTTACAGAAATGACATCACATTTACATAGGACTTTTTAATTTGCGGAAGTGGAGGATGCTGCTGTTTTCAAAGCAAAAAAATAGATTTTAGAGTTCATTTTCTATTCCAATTTTATTATCCATTCTTTGATATCCTTCCCGGCGAAATGGTTGCTTAATGAATTATGTAACTAATGAAATATGTTAAATTACTACTAATTTTGTCCTTTTTGTTGTTTGTAAGTCTAATATTCCTTGTGTCACCTTATATGCACACAAATAGGTATGTGCATAATCATATGCATGTGTTCGTTATCTGGTTATCAGGGTGGATGCATCTAATTTATTGCTTTGCTTTCTTAGAAACTTTGCTGAATCTGTTTGATGCTATTATCTAAATCAGCATAAAAAACTAGTGCCATTATGTCCAACTTTTCTACATGATGCAGATGGATCCTTCTTATCGGCCAAGCTTGATGCAAAAAGAAAGTGGTGAATACAGTGTTCTTCCATTTGCTGGATCAGACTTAGTTTTAAGCCCTTCTCAATGGAGCAGTCATGTTGTAGGTATGACCTTTGAGAGTTGAGTCAATTTCTTGGGTACTCAGACTATGTTCTTTGTCCTGTATTGATGGGTCACATGGAGAATCCTTTGTCTAGTTGCAACTTTTGGTTCTTTTGAGTATATGGGTATTAGGTATTAATTGAGTTTTGTTTTTAGGAAGAATCAAACTTCTGGGTTCTCTTTTGTACTTTCCTTTTGCAGATAAACTTCTTTTCTATGTAAACAGAATCTCTTGTTTTTTTTTTTTTTTTTTTCATGTAAATGAATTATATTTGTACCGTATTTTGGAGATCAATAACTATCAAGAGAATATCTCAAAATGTTTGTTTTGATATTCTGTTAGCTGAGATTAGGTGTTGAAAAGGAACTTGAACTGTTCATTGATATACTAATGAGGATATCAATTTAATCGCCATATGATATATGCTTTGTTGGATAAATCCTTTTTAAGGATTTTCCATTCTCCTTGATTGTGCTAAATTGGAGGGATGTCATATGGAGTTACTTTTTGTTTTTTTTTTCTCCTTACTTTCCTGGCTGTTTTGCTTTTTTAGTTTCTGTTTTTAGTGTCTTTTCTTTGAGGATTTCTCGTCCTCTTTCCTTTCTAATTGATTTTTCATCAATGAAAGGATTTTTATTGAAAAAAAAAAAAATGGAATTGTTTTGATGTATGAGAAGTGCTAGCTTTCAACGGGAAGAAAGCCTTATCGGTTGCTGTAAATTTTCCAATTCCATTGAAAGGAAAATCTAGTTTTGGGCCCACAAAGAATCCTTAAGTTGATTGGGCCAGCGCAATCCAAGTGTTATGTGAGTTTGGATTTTCCAATGAAAAATCATTTAGTATGGAGGCCATTTTAACAGTTTTAAAAGGACTGTAAACAAATACCTCGACCAAAAAGTAGTCACAAATCTTACAATTGGCCATTTCAAGTCAGTTATTAGGATGCTTAATGGTATTCCTTTCTCTAGAAATTCAGTTGAGGTCTGCTTATTTTGTGGCTCAAAGTCTGAAATGCTATATTTTTCAAGCTGAATTAATCACCTCAAGAAGCTGAATTGCATCGATCAAGTTGGATTGAATTTGGTTGGAGTTGACGGATTTTTTTCGTTTAAACATTTTTCTTTTGAATTTCATGCTGAATATATTTGTATTTATGTACAGGGCCCCGCCCCATAAATATTTGTTTGCCCATGTATTTGGCATCAGAAAGCTTCTCTTATGTTCACTTTTTAGATGATCTTTATCTTGACTCTTGGTTTTTGTGCAGGAAAAATTAGCTCGTGGATTGACCTTGATTCGGAAGATGAGGCTCTTCGGTTGGATTCTGAGACCACTCTGAAGCAAGAGATTGCATGGGCTTCTCATCTCTCCTTGCAGGTGTGCATTGTGGATTATTTTATTGCCTTATCACTCGGCAGCAATGTTTTCGTCAAGTAATCTACTTTTGTTTTTGGTACTACTATTACTACCACTACCACCACCACCTTTATGTGAAATATGTTTCAGTGTCTTTTATGTAAGATGTCGCAGACTGCAGTCAAATACTAGAATTTCTCATTCCTTTGTATGTTGAAGTCTTTATATGATGTCTAAGCATCTGATTTACTTAAGATATCATGGTTTAATATGCACTCATACTGCAGGCTTGCCTACTTCCTGCTCCTAGGGGGAAGTCTTGTGCTAATTATGCTAGGTGCGTCAATCAGATTTTACATAACCTAAACAGTATGCAGGTACCATTCTTGTTATTTCGTTGTTAACATTATGGTTGATAGCCCCTGTTGTAGGTGTTCTCATTATTTCATTCTTCCAGTTGTGGCTTAGGATTCCATTGGTGAAAACTGACGACGACACTATGGACACAAACTCGGATCATTTGGTAAGTTATGTTCCTTCCAATTCACTTTTTCATCTTGATTTTCCGTCTTTGAAGTTTGAACTTGTATGTAACTCTTACCTTCATTTTTTTACAACTACAACATTTGCTGTGCTGTGTACGGACCTTATTATTCTGCAGATTGTAACTCATCTGCTCTATTATTCATTGCCTAGATACTAATTACTTGGGATATAATGCTTTGTGGGTCCTTTGGTAATCTGTCCTTGTAGGGAGTCTATGCTTTTAAAAACTATTTCTTTGCATGGAAGGTTTGAAGCAAAGAGAGGTGCCCTTTTGCAACATGTGTTATCCGATCAGAATTGTCAAACTTAAATGTGGTGGAATGTTGTCTGCACGAACTTGAGTCTTTATGGGCTCATCTTAATGTGTTTGAAAGTGCACCCACTTTTTGGATAGTTAATCCCTCCTTTTACTTTGCCAAGTTCATACAGTTAACAGAAAATAAACTTTGTCCTGTCTGTTATTATGCAGAATGATTCTTGGGAGATTTGGAATTCATTTCGGTTACTTTGTGAACATCACAGTCGCTTATCGATTGCCCTTGACGTTCTGTGAGTTGAACAAACCTGGGATACTTTGTTATTTAGAATTTGACTGAAGTTTAGAGTTACCATTTAAAGGATTCTAAGCCTAGAATTCCTTTCGATGATCCTAATTTTGTACTTTCTAATTGCTAGGAGTTCATTACCTTCACCAAACTCTCTTGGACGTTGGTTTGGAGAGTCTGTTCGAGCCGCCCTTGTTCATACTGATGTAAATATATGCTGAGGAGTATTCTATATTATAAAAGGTTTACTGCATGTTGCTTGTGTCATTGCCTAGATTTGTAACAGTACGATTACCAATTTGCCAGTCCTTTCTCACAAACGCAAGGGGTTATCCATGCCTATCAAAGCGCCACCAGAAGCTAATAACTGAATTTTTCAACCATTCAATACAGGTATGTATGGAGAACCTTTTACGGCATTCTTATGTTCCTAGTGGAACCATGTTCCCTACTAAATTTGATATGTAAGCAACCCTTTGTATCTCCTCAATGGAAGGATTAATTCTACTTGTTCTTCTTGATTTTTATCAGTTGAATTTTTAGTAATGGTCGTGGTCGAGGCTTTATTGGATTATTCTGGATTTTTCCGTCTCTCTTTGATTCCAATGTTTTACTTCTAATAGTTTATAATTTGACTTGATTGGTAATTTGGTATTACGTTTGGTACTATTCAATCTCGTAATGAATATCCTACTAGCTTTACTAGTCACTGATTTGTATTACTTGAATCTCTTTAGATCGTTATATCCGGAAAAGCAGTTCACAATCTCCAAAGGGCAATTGTAGATACGGATCAAAATCATAGTAAGAATAACATTGATTGTACATTCCGATATGTGATTTTGAGAATACCCATAATATGTTTGCTGAACTGTTGAAGCTATGCCTTTTTTTTTCCTTTAAAAGAAATTAAATTTTTTTATCAGTGAAGCTTGGAAATCCAAAATTCCTGTGGTTTCTTTTATTATAGATTTGTCTCAATTCTGGTTCAGGATGACAGTTTTCTTTCTTTTTCTTTTTTTTTCCACAAAAAAAAAAAAAAAGAACATTGTCACTGCCTTGTTTTTATTTTTATTTTGTTCTCAACTTCCTCTCCATCATTCAGGTGTGGAGAGACATCCCTTGAGGCCATATTTGGATTATGTTGCTTATCTCTACCAAAAGATGGATCCCCTGCCCGAGCAAGAACGTTTTGAGGTAGGTTTAGGTTATACTTATTTTTTTACTCATCAATGAGTACACACGAACTTGCGCGTGGTGTAGCACCAATTAGAAATATCCTGCTTGTAACTCTTACCATTTAATTGTGCCAGCTTGGATACAGGGATTTCTTGCAATCGCCCTTACAGGTGCACTTTTACAGCTAATTATTTCTTTTGTTTTCCTTTTAGTCTTTTGCTAGTATTTTTTTAAAATTTTTTTTTTTATTTTATAAACAATCATTAATCTTTATTTTAGTATCAGATCTTACGAGTTTCTGTCGTTTGTACATATTTTCTATCCACTCTTGTTCTGATCACAGTTTACAAGTTTGTTTACTTCTGCTATTCTGATGCAGCCTCTCATGGATAATCTAGAGGCTCAAACCTATGAGACATTCGAGAAGGATACAATGAAGTACATTCAGGTATGATTGTGCATCTGGTATATTGTGGGTTCGTTTTTGATATGATAATCTTCCATTATACGTAAATGTAGAGATTTTATGCTTCTTACTTGTTCTGTGTGAAATTCTTAGTTCCCGCCTCGCTTAACATTTATGAAATTGTTGTCATGTATCTTGACTTTTCTAGTACCAAAGAGCAGTTGGTAAATAAATTCTTAGTTCCCGCCTCGCTTAACATTTACGAAATTGTTGTCATGTATCTTGAATTTTCTAGTACCAAAGAGCAGTCGGTAAAGCTTTACTAGACAGGGTTCCTGATGAAGAGGCATTGGCTATTACAACAGTAAGCTACCTTATGTGCTTGTGCTGATGTTATCTTTCACCCTTAATTTTTCACGGGTGTTACATAAACATACACAACATTTTTTGGTTAGGGCCATTATTCTTCACATATACTTTTCATTTGTGCAAGGTATTGATGGTTGTAGGAGCAGGGCGTGGACCTCTTGTGAGGGCATCCTTACAGGTTACTCCCTCTTTTTCTGTGTGATAGATTGTGAACCATATGTTTGAGTTTGAGCATGGAGTGCTTTCTTCACGTTCCAGTGTTAGATTCTTCTTATTTGATTTCTATCCTCCCATTCTTTATAGGCAGCAGAAGAAACTGGGCGTAAGCTCAGAGTTTATGCTGTTGAGAAAAATCCAAATGCAGTTGTTACCCTTCACGTGAGTTGCATATCAGAATATGTGATTTCTTTGCAAAGCATTTGTTGGGAACTAATGGCCGTGTTTGGAATTGATCCCGTTTTTGTTTTTCACATTTTTCGAGAAAGAAAAAATGAAAACGTTTCCAAAACGGCGTTTGGCGCAATAAAGACAAAAAACGGAAATGAAAACAATTTTTTAGTTTAGTGTAAAATGAGAGAGAAATGAAAAACGACTTTTAGTCGTTTTTCATTTTTTGTTTTCGTTTTCTCCTCCCTCGAGCAGAGTGAGAAAGAGAGATATTAATGAATTTTTTTACACTGAAAACAATCTCTTGATAAAACTACTAAATGCATTTTCAAAAATGATTTCTGTCTGAGATTGAAAACGTTTTCATTTTCATTTTCATACAAAAAATAAAATCATTTTGGAATGAGTTCTAAACGCGCCCAATGTTTTACTCAAATTCTGTGTCTGTTGTATTTCATGTTTGGTATAACAATATGTTTTCCTAGCAGAGCTTGGTCAAACTAGAGGGCTGGGAAAGCATTGTTACTATTGTTTCCTGTGATATGCGTCACTGGAATGCTCCTGAGAAAGCTGACATTTTGGTATGGTATTCTTATTTTGGTTAATCATTACTATTTTTGTTTTTGGGTACGCTTGATTCCCATACTGATTATTTTCTCCTCACATTTGTTTTTAGGTTAGTGAATTGTTGGGTTCCTTTGGTGACAATGAGCTATCTCCGGAATGTCTTGATGGAGCCGAAAGGTTTATGAAGGAAGATGGAATTTCAATACCATCATCGTAAGTACACTTTTCTTGACTCTCATAGTTCATATTTTCTAGTTTTAGTTGTTTGGCTTGGTTTTATATTCCGTCTCCTGGAGATTGGGCCCTTGTATATTGCCATACTAAATGCTAATCTTGATTGACCTAATCATGGGAGATCTCTAGTAAACTGGGTGGCTGTCAGTTATCCGTTTTATCTCTGAAATAACACGTTTGATCTATGTTTTGGTGCAATCCTTGTAATACACGTTTTTGAGGTCTTCTTATAAGGAGCATGGAGGATTCTACTGGAATATTTAATTTTATAGGGGACAAATTCTTGGGAGGTCAATATTGATTGTCTAAAATCTTATTTTTGAGGGTTCAATCTTGATAATCTGAACGTCTGGTATTCTGATTTCTTCTGGGTGTTAGTTACATACAACCAAATGACGATATATTGTTTTGGAGAATGAAATTCTTGAATTCCTAAGTCCAGGGTTGGTGTAACTTTAAACATGCAACTTTAATTCAAACGCTTCTTTCATTCAGGTACACAAGTTTCATCCAACCAGTGACAGCCTCAAAGCTGTATAATGATGTATGCCTCTTGTCTTTGTGCTGAAATCTGTCACCACAACGTATTTCCAGCAGTTAATAGCGTTGCTTTGATTATGTTACAGGTGAAGTCCCATAAAGATATTGTGCATTTCGAAACTGCTTATGTTGTTAAATTGCATAGTGTTGCAAGACTGACTCCTACTCAACCTGTGAGTTTTTCCTTCCTCCCCCGTGGCGTATTCTAATATTGATAATTATTAGGATTTTGCATATCTACTTTAACGTAGGCTATGAACTTAGAGCCATATTCATGGAACTGTTCTCTAGCTTATTCAGAGAATCGTGTATTCTTTTTTCACTTTCACAGGTATTTACATTCACACATCCAAATCACTCATCTGACAAAAGCAACCATCGATACAAAAAGCTGCACTTCAAAATACCCAGTGATACTGGATCAGCTATGGTTCATGGTATGTGGTGGCATTACTATATTTCTGAAGAGTAACTTTCTGGAAGAAACTGCACTTTACATAATCTTGTTTTTACTAAATTTTATTACTTAACCATTACTTTTCTTGGGTTTCACTTAATCCTAGTTATACTCCTGTATTGTGATGCCATCTTGCATTAGAATTCAAAAGTGTATTGTATTTTTGTATTTGACTAGTCTGTTCTTGTTTTATGAATTCTGCTTGAAGATGTTATTGAGAATATTTACATTAATCTAGAGAGAAGAAACTAAGTAATCGATGAAGACACTTTTTATCTGCAATTATGAGAATGGTGAGAAGCATACTTGGTGAAAGTTGCTTGTGTGATAGAGTGTTGTAGGGATATGATTGGTATAGAATATAGGTGGAGAGGCACGTCAGGATGTGATACATTTATGCTATTTTTACAATGTTGAAGATCCATATAAAATTCAACAGGTTGTGGTCTGTCGGTTTACCAGTAGAGCTAGGAGATTGGAATTATGTTTCCAAGTGTTTTGTCTTTGAAATGGCAAGTTGAAGAAAACTTGACTTGTTGATCTGATCTCAATCCCATCTCTTACAGCCACTTTGTATGTGTAGGATATAACGGGTAGTTACTAGGTAAGATTAATTAAGAATACAATGATCTATATAAGTTTATAATAAATTCTGTCAAGAAGCTAAAATGCAAAACATGTATGAAACCGTTTGTGTGTTCGAAAAATCAGAAGCCATCTTCTCAAATTTTCATTTCAGATATGTCTTACTGATGTATATCCTGCATTTGTAGGCTTTGCCGGCTATTTTGATGCAGTATTATACCAAGATGTCCATCTTGGTATTGAACCATCAACAGCAACGCCAAACATGTTCAGTTGGTAGGGCCTTGAACTTCTTTTAGAAACTGATTACAAGCTCAAGTTTGTCTGGTCCTTGTTACCTAATTTCGACCCTCTTTTTATTAACCTTCCGTCTAAATACCGTAATTCGTAATTTTGTATAATCCTTCTTGTGTTATATACTACCCTTTCTTCCTTTGGTTTACACACAAGTAGGTGCTAAATACTTAATTAGCCAATGCATCTAAAACCTACTGGTCATTGCTACGGAGTTTAGGCTTGTCTTTTTCTACGTTCAACTGCAGCTTTATTCTTAACTATTCACATTATTCAGGTTTGCAATATTCTTCCCACTAAAGACGCCAGTCTGTGTAAATCCCGGTTCTCATCTTGACGCGCATTTTTGGCGCTGTTGCGGTCCCACCAAGGTAAAGCTTTGATTGAGTCTTAGATAACAAGGAAAAAGTGGAGTTGTTCACTACTTTTTAACGTAGTAGGGGGTGGTTTCCCTTATAAGAAGAGTGCATATATGTAGGCGTGTCTGTTTTTCTATGCGTATACGCACTCTATCTTCGTTATTTATTTTGACATCTTTTGTTCTCCTGGGTTTACGTCCTTACGGTGCAGGTTTGGTACGAGTGGTGTGTATCATCACCCAATGCATCGCCAATTCACAACTCCAACGGACGCTCATACTGGGTTGGCCTGTAGTTCTCAAATTCCACACTTTTTTTCTCTTTTTGAATTTGAATGAATGGAGAGGAGAAAAGGAGTTAGTTGCAGCAGAAAGCCATATCATTTGTCTGATCAGACGAAGAGAAACTAATATACACAAATCTTTAGCCAGAAATCTTATGGTGCTTAAGCAGTAATAATTACTCACTGATCTCCCTGAGCGAAAAAAAAAAAGAAAGGAAAAAAAGAGAAGTGCTCGCTGATCTGGCTAAAACAATGCAGGTTCTTGTGACTATGGTTTTGCATTCATGTCAATCAATGGGAATGTATATTGTAATGTTGAGATTTTTTTCTCTCTATATGGCACAAAATGATATTTTTGAACCATCATTTTCAATATACTATGTGAGAGGAGAAAAAGCAAGGATTCGTGTTGTAATCTAGTTTAGGTCTGGAGTTACTTGAAAAGAAGTGTACTTTTTCCCCCCTTCATTTAATCGGTTGCCATTGGATAACGTCAAATGAGTAGGAAACAATGAGTTGCTTCTTTGAAAAGGGCCCGTTTGCCATTACTTTTGAATGCTGTTTTTAGCTTTTTTTAAAGAAGCTCTAGAGGGTTCAGGTGTTTGGTAAAATATGCTTTTGTTTAGCAACTTTTAAAAATTACTATCCCGCAACATAATTTGAGAAGTAGGTAGAGGTTGTTTTTTCACAACAATTTCTGTTGTCATTGTCTAAGTTTATTAAAATGATCTTAATAATAGAACTTCATTCTTAATCAACTTATTTTATTTCTTACATATCAAATTAAAGAGTATTTTATTTTAATTGTTTATTTAAAAATTACAAATCTTTAATAAATGCTAAATTTTAATAATTATTTTTATTATAATTTGTAAGTTTGAAAAATAATTTACTTTCAATTTTTTACGTTATTTAATTTCTTTATAAATACATAATTTATCTCTTTGAATAAAATTAATTTATTTTTTAGAGATATTTTAATTAATAAAATGAAAATTAAATTTTTTTTAGTACTGTAGTGTATAAATATTATGAATATTGATTATAAAATAATTTTCAAAAAAATATATTGATTATAAAAATAGAGATAAAATTAATCATAAGTATGTGTGTTATAGTATGTTTATTTTAGTTATTATACATTCTTATAGTAATTTTGTACAAAATTTACTACACTTAAATTTTTACTTTTGATACTCACAACTTTGAAAATTTTTTATTAAATACATATATGTTTCTAGTCACAATAATTTCTGACTAATTTGTACAAAATTTACTACACTTAAATTTTTACTTTTGATACTCACAACTTCGAAAATTTTTTATCAAATACATATATGTTTCTAGTCACAATAATTTCTGACTAACAACACAGTAACAACAAAAAATTTTAGCAACACAGTGCCAAATTGACCCAAAGTCATTTTGCTAATCAAATGACCTTTTCTGAACCATTAAAAAACCATTTTTTGTGTTTTTTCTTTAAATCAATTGTGTGAAAATTAAATTGTGCCATGGTATATCTAAACCTTAACAAGAATCATTGTTTTATGCCACCAAACTAATATGATTTTTTGCTTTGAATGTGGTTTTTCTCTTAGTTATTAGGGAAAAATGAATTCGTTTGTGCGACTCCAAATACCTGTCGTTTTCAACATTGATCATCAAACAGCAAAGCCTTTATTTTTCGATTGAATTCTTTTTTTTTTTCTGAGCAAAAAAGAAAAAAAAATCCCTTTTTCATGTATTATACTGATTGGAATGGAAAAAGTTTCGTACTGTTTTATCCTTGTTAAGGATTTATCACCGCATGGCATGGGGTTGGACGGTAGAAGCGTTTATCAATTTTAACAACTTTTAGCAATTTTTTTTTTCTCTTTTTTTTTTTTTTTTGACGAAAAAGAATTGAGAATCAATGCAAAGCGTTTTGCACATATCCCGTTGTTATTTGAAATATATATTTTTGATGGATTTTTTTTTAATTAAATCGTAGCAGTGGAGTGTTTTTCTGTCGGTGTAACTTGTAAAGTAATATCAAGTTAGGGTTGTTATTGTAATAAAATCAGAAGCAAGGGGTGCAAGTGTAATTTTATTTTAAAAACATATCCAAGCGCACAAACAAATATCAGAAATCAGAAGGATCTAGGTTAGGGTTCTTCTTCTTCTCTTCTTCTTCTCTCTGAAAACCGAGAATTTGACAAGCACGGAACGGAAGTAATAGTGAACACAACGCATCTTGATCTCACAAGAAGGTAAAACAATTTCGATTTTCCGAGAAAATTTCTGAGCTTTTCTTTTCTCAATCAATCTTCGGGAAATTCCATGGTATTCGGAGTTTTGAAATTGTGAATTTGGTTCAATTTTGCAGAGCGAGATGTACAACGGAATAGGGTTACAGACCCCGAGAGGGTCTGGGACCAATGGTTACATCCAGACGAACAAGTTCTTCGTGAAGCCGAAGGTCGGGAAAGTTGCGGAGAACACCAAGGGTTTCGAGGCCGATCAGGGCACCGCCGGCGTAACGAGGAAGGCAAACAAGGAGATTCTGGAGCATGATCGCAAGCGCCAGATCGAGATCAAGCTCGTCGTGCTCGAAGACAAGCTCATCGATCAGGGTTACACCGACGCCGAGATCGCCGAGAAGCTCGCCGAGGCTCGCAGGACTCTGGAGGCCGCCGCTTCGGACGATAGCGGTGTGCTTGCCGTCGACAAGAAGTAAGATTCTCTTGCTCTTTCAAGTATTTTGATAGGTTTTGGAATCTCGCGCCTTCGGATTCCGTCAATTTTTGGACAGTTTCTCGAAGAAATTCCACAAATTTCGTGAAAATCGTCCATAAAAACGATATCTTTTTTATGTTTAGGGATTGTCAAATTGAATATCAGGGGAAAAGTATTTTACTGTCTGGATCTAGTTAGGTTAATTGGTTTTCTTTTCTCAATATTTGTGCATGCCTTATTGTAACTAAAGGGATTTTAATTTTCTTTTATATTCGTTACATTTACATGAAAGAGATATATAGGAGGCACGGATACTTGTACAAAACAAGTTGTTTGGTTCTTTTCTCACAATAGGAATGTGATCTTTTACGCTTTATTATTACTTCTTTATAGTATGAATGCTAGGTATAGGCAGTTAGTGTTTCAGAATTCCGGTTCAATATTGCAATTTTTCTTTTTTGGTTATGAATGTCCTCAAATGAATGATAATCTGAAAAGAAAATGGTTAATAACAAATTTGCCTTTATCCCTGTAATAATTAGTTTGTGCTGTTGATGTGTAATTCGAAGATGAGGGAAACCCAACGGCTTTAGTCCTTTTATTTAGTACTTTGTGCTTGTTAGCAAATTGTTAATGTGGTTCTGAAATATTAGTTGACTTATCTTTTTGGCTTGAACAGAGTTTCAGATACTCAGACCCACCAAATAGCTGCCAGAAAGGAGAAGCAGATGGAAACTTTAAAAGCAGCTCTTGGCATACGTTCATCAGAACCTGATGAACAAAATACTGACGAGATTGATGATGGACCAAATGGTCAGAAAAGTGGTGTGAATGATGATCGCAAGCATAAGAAAAGTGAGCACGCTTTTTTGGATAGAGATTATGGGAGGAAGAAACATACTGAGGAGAATCAGAAAACTGAAAAGGATGATAAGGTGAAGAATACTAAAGAATCTAAGCGGAACAAGAAGAAAGAAAGTAGAAAGAGGAGGCATGGGGATGAGTCTTCCGATTCTGATGGCAGTGCTGGGAATTCAAGAGCTCTTAAAAAGAAGCATCGCAAAAATAGTAGGGGAAGGGACTCTGAGGATTTTGATACTGATGTTGACCAGAAGCATAAGGTTGTAATGAAACACAAGAAAAGCAAAAGAAGTTATAGTGATGATTCAGATTCTGGTTCTGATTTTGCTACCAGTGGTGAATCTGATTCCTCTTCTGGTTATGAGTCCGATTCTGCTTCTAGTTACGATTCTTCTGACACAGATGACAGTGGCAGAAATTTGACAGCGGTAAAAAAGAAGCGTCAGAGTACTCGTGGGGGAAGTGATAGTAAAGATGAGAAGTATAAGACTGTACAGAAACACAAGAAAAGCAGGAGAAATGATAGTGATGATACCGATTCTGCTTCTAGTGATGATGCAAGGAAGAAGCATTTCCGAAAGCAAGAGGGGAAATACACAAGATCTCATAGGAGGCATGACTCAGATGATGATTCTGGTTTTGATGAAGGCTCGTTGAAGAGTAGAACTGCAAAGGGGAAGCAACCTTTAATAGCTGGGAACCGACATGATTCTGAGGATGATGCCGATAGCGAGTCTGATTATGAAAAGTCTAGAAAACCTAGTAGTAGAACAGTTGAGAGAAGTCGAAGAAGTGGCAAGGAGGACAATAACGATTCTGATAATTCTGGTTATAGCAGTGGTAAGGTGGAAAAACACAAAAGGAGACATGATTCAGATGATGGCGAAGTTGGTCACAAACATGATAGGAAAGGCGGACAGATTGAAAAGCAGAAGGCAGTTGAGAAGGGGTCAATTTCTAATGACAGTGATACCGGTAACAGTGATGATTCTCGTGGAAAAATCAGTGAGACACATTTGCGTACTGGTGCTCGTGACTATGAACATAAGAGGTCAGAGCAGAATAAGTCTGGTGAAAATAAGAGTCGGCACCAGGATGATATGAAGAGAAGAGTTGGACGAACAAGTCCAGAAGAGGACTTAAAATCAAGTGGAATTGCTGCTAATGAAAGATGGAAGGCAAGAAGTTATTTTAGTGATGATGAATACCAGAACAAGAATGATAAAAAATACTCGGGCTCTGCTAGAAGTGGAGGACATGATGAGGTGACTGATGAACGTGGGGGAAGAACTTACAGAAAGGAGGATGAACCGCGTCATAGTAGTAGGAGGACAGATCGGGATTATGAACAGCGTGGTCAAGATAGAAGGCACTCAAGGAGTGAAGAGGAGCATAAAGGGAGAAAGCATGGAAGAGATGAAGAAGATGATTATAAATATAGAAGATATGGAAAAGGTGATGAAGATGAATACCATAGAAGTCACAGAAGGGATGAAGAGCGGGGAAATAGGGATATTGATAGGGATAGAGAAAAGGATTATTCCAAGAGAACAAGATATGATGATTCTAGGTCAAGCGAAAGAAAAAGGTATGACAATGAAAGAGGCCATGACGACCGTCCCAGGCGCCGAGATTGATGCTATAATCTTGTAGTCACGCTACAAGGGTAAGCAACTTTCTATTGAAAGAAAAAAAAAAGTTTTGCTAAATGTCCTTCATTTATTAGATACAACTGAGATTCTGTTAGTTAATGTCATTTGAAGTTTGGATGTGTAGAATCAAATATTTATTTAGTTTAGGAAATTCACCAGTAGGTTACTTGATAATTTACTTGGTAATAAGCATAAGGGTCCAAGTAACTTGTAAATGAATTAAGATTCATTGTCTTGACTATTTTCTCTTTATTATTCAGCTTATGATCGGTTTTGAATGTGGCGAGTTTTCTGTATGGATATTCTTGTTTCAGCGCGCCGCCTCATTTCAAAGCCGGCCTGATAGTTGTGTTGAGCGTTCCAGGCTGAACCATATTGACCAGTGCTCATGAAGAGTGAAGGCGGAAGGTTATCTGCTGAATTTAAGATGATGTAAAGTTATGGATCATGCATTGTAGTTTTTTATTATGAGATCATGCAACTCTCTTGTAACGTAGTGTTGTCATATTTTGGGAATTGAGTTTTAATATGTTTTTCAGCTTTGGATTTAGCTGTGGAAGAATACTTATTTTCTGTTCTTTTTTTTCTCCCATTAATTCATATGAACGTATTAGGGAAAGCAATAACCCGTTTCACCAGATAATAATAATAATAATAATAAAGAGATGAATGAAAAAGGGAGAGTTCGAGAAACACTAGTTTCATAGAATTCATGTTTGTGGAGTTTGATTTATTTTGCATTGCCAATTTTTCAACGAGAAATGTGGATGTGATATATTCTTTAACTTGATGAGATTTTGCTGAATTCCTTTCCAAAAAAAAAAAGCTTGAAGATCTGAGAGATCTATGGGATATAGGGGAAATATTTTGGGGAGGCGACAGCTTTGTCGTTGCCGCTGTGTCAACTGTCAAGGAGTAGAAGAGTGTTAAAATTATAAATATATAAAAACGTATAAAAAATTTTATCTTTATCAAAAGCATAATAGAAAAGACTTTTTTGGGTACGTTTATAAGAATGTGTAAAAATTATCATTGTAAAATCACTAAAAGTTAAAAAGGAAAGATCATAGGAAAAGAAGAAAAAAAAAGGGAAGAAAAATAACCAAACAAATCAAATTATAATAGGAACTAGGAAGAGTTGAATTATGAAGGCGAGTTTAACTTCGTTGCAACCATTTCGTTTTCCACCCATATAGTTTTGAAATCCACAAAAGGGTACGTTTATAGTTCTGTCCATACTAGAATTCAAGTACAACTCAAAAAAATATATATGTACATATATCTTGCCTTAAAGTTCCGTATACAAATGTAAGTGCTACCTATATCACGAGCGGGGTGTGTGTAGGCTGCCCACATTTGGTCTGCCAAGTGATCCCTGAATCGATTCATGTCTACGCGGTCAGCTCTGTTGCGACACACAGCGGGACCATGAGGAAAAACATTATTTGCACCGACGTCATAATTGATAGGATATGCATTCTCAAGGTCCATATCTGAATCCGGCACTCCATCGCGAAAGTATCGCTGCAAAAGCTCATCCCTTTCGTTAACCGTAAGGACGAAATTGTGCAAGACTGCGCATGCCACCGGAATCCCTCACTTGCTTCTCTATTGGATAACTATTTGCTCGTTTTAGTATAGGGAACCTTGCCTTCCATATTTTGAAAGTCTTCTCAATACAATTTCTCAATAAGGAGTGTGTGTAGTTAAACAACTCCCGTTGTGAAGTAAGACCATCACATTGAACCTTGTAATCTTGCAAATGGTAAGTGGTTTTTCGATATGGAGTCAGGAAACAATCGTTGTTTGCATATGCAAAATTGCCTAGGTAGAATTTACCTGGACAAAATAAATAAGATGGATAAGTTTTGAACTTGTATATTATTTGTCATTACTATTACTAGCTTGCGAGAAAAACCTTCAGGTGGACGTGGAAAATCTTTTGCCGGGTCCCAAACAACACTTTGAAGCACTCGCGCATCATGCGCAGATCCCTCCCAACTAGATAAGATATATGTGAACTTCATATCAAAAGAGCATGCTGCCATGATATTCATAGAGTAAAACCCCATTCTGTTACGCCAAATTCCAACTCTTTCGCTTGGTGGGACACATGGTATGTGAGTGCTGTCAATTGCCCCTACACAATTCCGCAGGATAAATAATAAACAAACGTTACGAATAACTATAAAAGAGTCGGAGCAAAAATTGAGAAAATCAAACTAGACAAGCAAAGGAGTACTTACGTCAAACCAAGGACAATATTTATGAGCATTGTCCGATATGAACGGCTGAACTTTATCGTAGTTGGGGGCCTCTATAAAGTCATGACACAAACGGCATATAGTTTGTAACACCTTTGAGAACCACTGATATACAGGGTGCGTTTGGAACTCATTCAAAAATAATTTTGTTTTCTATATGAAAAGGGAAATGAAAATGTTTTCATTTTCATTTTGGAATTATTTCTGAAAATGCATTTGGTAGTTTTATTCAGAGATTGATTTCAGTTTAAAAAAAAAACTGAAATTGTGTTTGGTGGTTTAATTTTTGAAAACATGTAATAGTATTTAAAATAATAATATATTAAATAAATAATAATTGAATCCCAAATAAAAACACTAATAATTAATAAAATAATTTAAATTACATTACAAATAAATAGTAAATAATTTAAAATAAGATAACTTAGTGATTGATTAGTAAAAAAAAAAAAATTACTTAGTGAATAATCTTAGCTTATATTACTGTCGTATATACGAATCCCACATTTGATCAGCTAGATAATCCATAAAATTAACCATGTGATTACGTTGTAGCCGACCACCCATTTCGGATGTTTCCACTTCTTGTGCGTTCATACCATGTTGTTGTTGGGAATAGTGTCCTAAAAGCATGAGATGTAATATGATATTTATTATTTATTTAATAAAAGAGTTTATTCATCATTTTATGTGCATATATTTTATGAATATCAAATGAAAATTCCGTGATTATTTATGTAACCTTAAACATAGTATATAAGTGTTATATACGAGAGGATAGTGTTTAAGGATAATAATCAAAAACATTATTCATAATAAATCTAATGAAAGTTCAGAATCTTTAATTAGAACATTACTAATACATGTCATTCCCATTTAGAATGAAACGGTGTTATCCGCACTGTTAATATGGTGAGATATTGAATGAGTGTATTTCGCATAATGCGATTGTGTGGAACATGGACACAGACACAATATGAATTTCTAATAATTTCTGTTAAGCATAGAAATTCTAATTGAGTCTACCGATGGTCATATATAGAATGATCTTAATCCTGAGTTCTTAACAAACTCCTATTTATGGATTTATGTCTTTTAATTTACTCAGTACGGATTCCGAGACCCTGAATCCTAT